AGCACTGCTTTTTGCCTATCGTTGGGTCACTTTGTGACCGAGGGTTACTGACGGAATTTTTGGTCAGCTCTACAGGAAAACACAATGACTGGTTTTTGCAATCCAGACCACAACACGCTGATTTTGTTTGTTACAGTGTGTCGCATCCCTCTATATATCCTTAAATTTGCGTGATATCTTTTTAGTTATTCAATTGGTGGATGGTGACTAGCAGTGGAATCCAGGATGAGCATTTCGTCCCATTTGGGACTCGTCATCTGGATGTACCTGCATTCCCCAGTGAGTGACGATGTTCCCACCGAGGCTCAAACCCAGTGCCCATAGTTTCAAACGCCAAAGCGTTATCCAATGCAGGTACATCCGACTGACGAGTACCAAATAGGATTCCACTGCTAGTCACCATCCACCAATTAAATTATAATTACATGCCCAGAAATCCTCGAAGCATCTGCACAAGAAGCAGACATGTCAACCTGAGACCGAGGACTTCAGTCAACGAGAAAATCTAAAATTCAATTAAATATTTTTGGTTAGTTTGTTTCAAGAGTTCCTGGTTGCTAACCCTTTTCGTGAAGCAATCTGATTTTCAGTAATGAGGCAGCGAAGAGGGAAGGTGTTAATGGAAATCTACAATAGTCTGTTGGGAATGCTTTTGATAATGCGACAAGTTAATTAAGCGTAACTTATCTATTTATCATTTGATATTAAGACGTAAATAAGAACAGCAGTCAATTCATGACTGAGTTACCTTTTATTATCACTAGACAGCTTAGCCAAACAATGTGTTACTACTGAAAATCTCTCATTGTGTTTTGGCAAAGGACAGAGAAAAAACTATCCGTAGCTCTGTTTTGTCACATTTAGTTAGTTGATAGTGGTCATGTAGTGGAGAAAGCGAAAGTACTCACGGTGATTCATAGCATCCGACAAAATTCCGTTTTCGTCTACTACATATAGAGCTAAGGCGATAGGCATTTGAACGATTAAGCCTAAACTATGCATTCCAAAAGAAGTTCATACAGCCATTATCCCTCCCTACCAAGACCTAACCAGCTGATGACTTCTTCACCACCCCTCCCTACTTATATTCCCAACCTCTCTCTTATCACATATGCATTAAAACATACTTTCATACAATGATTCCCTTTTATAAATTTGAACAAAGAAGAAAAATTGGCGCACAGAATAATCCGGATCCATTTTATTTCGTCGGTTCTCATCAGCAGCTGCGTACAAACTGAATTCTTTAATAAAAATAAAAATGAAAAGTGTACAATTTTAACAAACTTTTGTCCATTAGCAAGTATATTGTCATAGCGTCATAGTGAAATACGATTTACAAGTGTCTTAAGTGTTACTACATATGTATATGTATATCTTGTTATAGAGAAGTTTCTTGAAAAAAAAAACCAACAGTTGTGTTGTTGGGGTGGTAACAAAAGAAAATTAGTAATAGTTACGTAATTGGATAAGAGAAGATCTAAATTTTGGTGCATATGAGGTCAGATGAGAAGTTGGTGATGTAATACAGTGACCAGAACTCAGAAGATCAAGAAAAATTATCTCTTAAGAGAGTCAAGCGAAAAATAAAGCGGGGGGGGGGTGGAGTGAAAAGATAAGTTAACAAAATTAGAAAACAAAGAGTTACTAAGAAGTGAGTCACCGGGGTAATTGAAGTCCGAAAACGGATTCTTTTTGAACACATAAGTCAGGCTTCAATCGTTTTATTGTTATAGCTTCAGCGAACCTGAGAAGACTTGAGGTACTTTGTCTGTTAATTATTTTGAATGATTCCAGCACACCTACTCGGTGCTATCCTGTGTCAATCAGGTGTTTGGCGATTGAAGAGCTTAAACAATTTGGTCCCTTTAACCGGAGGCTTCTTTGTACATGTTCGCAGAATCTGACGTAGGCCCTCCTCTCTGTTCTTCCAAAGTAACTGATCCCGCAGATACATGTGAATTGGTATACACGGTTGGAGGTAACATGTGAGGGGTACTTGTCAATCTTTGAATGCACCAGTGCGGAGATTGCTGCAGGATACGTCCTAGACAGGGCTGCGTTTAATCATTTATTTAGTATTCTAATAATGTCGTCGCCCTTGTCGTCGAGTTTCATGAAAATAGGCTGTAGGTGCATCAAGCTTCTTGAGTTCAGTCTTGCCATATTTGTTGATGAAACTTTGTAGGTAACCATTTTGTTTCTTTTTCTTGATCTTCTGAGTTCTGCTCACTGTATTACATCATCAATTTCTCATCTGACCTCATGTGCACCGAAATTTTGATCTTCTCTTATCTAATTATGTAACTATTACTAATTTTCTTTTCTTACCATACCAATAACACAACTGTTAATTAGTTTTATTTCAAGGAACTTATCTCTAACAAGATAGATATACATATATGTCGTAACACTTTAAACACCTTATAAATCGCAACGCCTTATTTTAGTATGACGCTGTGACAATATGCTTGCTAAAGGACAAAAGTTTGTTAAAATTGTACACTTTTTATTTTATTAAAGAATTCATGTTGTACGCAGCTGCTGATGAGAACCGACGAAAAAAATGGATCCAGATTATTCTGCACGACAATGTTTCTTCTTTCTTTGTTCAAAACATACTTTATTTACTACCCTTACAATCCAGCATCGCTTAATCGATCAATTTGTTATTCTTAACCTTTATAGACTAGTATGTATGTCTACCTGAACATTTGTTTGTTGGTTTGTTTAATCATGCTGTTTTTTCTTCATAATTCTTTTTATCACACAGATCACTCCACTTTTTCATCTTCGTTATTGATCACATCATCATTCTTATTAGCATTATTATTACTATGAATGATTGGTGTATGTTTAATATTTATTAGTAAAGTTCTGTGTGTGCGTCGGTGGCTTAGCAGTAGAATGTTCGCCAAACCACGCATGTGGTCCGGGGTTCGATCCCCGACCGGCGCACTCCTTTACCTCGCTAAGCCGGTAATAAGACCGTTAAGGAAGAAAGGTTGGGCATGAAGCTAGCAATGCCCCCATCCCGTAACAAAGAAACACCACTGCTTCCGAAACTTCAAAGATCTAACCTGAAGAAGCCTTACGTTCCACTGGGAACGTAAAAGAAACGTGGTGTAGCTAAGTTGAATACGTATATTAGAATTAGGCCTGATGAGATCTAACTGGAAACAATATTTCATCATGAGCTGACATAGAAAAACCTGAGAGTTTACTGGACAACTGTTTCTGTCGTCCTAGCTTGGAACTCTTCGGCAAAACCAGGCATCTCTGGCGTAGGTGTGACAACCGGCTATCAACCAAGGGCCGTGTATACTGCTCAGCAGTTCGCTCCGTCCTTCTCTATGGCTCTGAAACATGGCCAATACGAGTTGAAGACATGAAAAGGTTGACTGTTTTTGATCATAGATGTCTACGATCTCTTTCTCACGTTAGGTGGTATAATAAGGTAAGTAATGTTGACGTTAGGCGTAGAGTGTTGGGCAAAGAGGGAAAATCAATCGAAGAGGCTATGAAGTTACATAGATTGAGATGGTTAGGCCACGTGCTGTGCATGCCTAACCATTGCCTCCCCCGACAAACGGGCATTACTAGCTGATATAGGTGCAGGTTGGAAAAGAGTAAGTGATGGCCAAACAAAAACATGGCATCAATCAATCCATGAAATCCTTGACAGTTAAACTGAGTCAGGTAGGGAGATGCAGACTTCCGGGTTCGGGCCCGCCCTCGGGACTCTAAGAATCAATCAATGGCTGGAGACAATAGGTGACATGGCTCAAAATCGTTGTCAATCGCTTACGCAGATGTATTCAGTCTCTGTAATCTTTCATATTCCTTTCTACTATTACTCATTCATTCTGTTTCACTCGTATACTTGTCAAAACTCTATTGATTCTCTTCACTCATCCATCTTCTTGTCTACCTTTGTGTGGTATTTGGAACGTGGCAACTGGAACTGGTGCACTTCGGTGCCAAGTTCTATGTTGAATCCAGACAGACAGACAAACAGACCTCGCTAAGCCAGTAATAAGACCGGTAAGGAGGGGAGGTTGTGCATGAAGCTAGCAATGCCCCCATCCCGTAACAAAGAAACACCACTGCTTCCGAAACTTCAAAGATCTAACCTGAAGCCTAATGTTCCACTAGGAAAGTAAAGGAAACGTGGTGTGGCTGAGTTGTATACGTATATTAGAATTAAGCCTGATGACATCTAACTGGAAACAATATTTCATTATGAGCTGACATACGAAAACCTGTACAATCGTAATTATAATTAACAAAGAAATCTTTAGACCAATCAGATACTGGTAAATTTTGTCCTTGGAAAATTGTATTACATAATGTAAGGTGTAAGAAGGGATGACTAATTGTAACTTAGAAAGGAAACAGAAGGACAAAATTTACCAGTATCTGATTGGTCTAAAGATTCCTTTGTTAATTATAATTACGATTGTACAGCTTATGAAAATGAATCGTCGAAAAGAAAATTTTCTTCGCTGTTTGTGCCTTTTCCTTATGACTCAATATGGGAATATTTCGTTCATAGGAAAACCTGACAGCATACTGGACAACTGTTTCTGTCGTCCTAGCTTGGGACTCTTCAGCAATACCAGGACCTTCCAGTTACAAGTAGAGCTCGTAGACCATTCAGCCCCGGGGATCTAACTCTTCAATGGCCAGTCCATGAATTCCAACTTCTGCCGAATCACGACACAGCGCCACTGGCACTAAGCCAGTGTCATCGCTGGCCAGTATTTGTCCCCACACCCAACCTACTGTACCCTACTGGTCACAACTTTCCACCAGAAACCATGTAACTACCTACGTACGTGAATACAGGGCCAGTTGCTAGTAAGCATCAGATGTTCTCTAAACACTGTCAGCTCATGATGAAATCCTGCAACCAATCAAATCCCTGCATACAATATTGATCGCTTAAAAGTGTTGTTCTACATGTCATGAATAGACATCAACAATAACAAAAAAATTTTTTAAACAAAAAACCTACCAAACTGTTTACTAGTTTCAACATCAGCACTAACATCTGTTACTTGTAGAGAATCAACAGCCAATAGAACATATAACGGGAGTGGGGGAATCGCTTGAGCTTCTAATAGATTGCTTGAAGAAGATGTAGCCACCTTGGACTGTAATGTTCCCGGTTTGCCAGATGTTCTCCCTGCACTGATGGATGTATCGAATGAACCAATGGCAAGATTGGTTAACTCTGAGTTCAAATTACCCTATGTGAGTAGAAGAGGTATGATAATAAAGGAAATCAATATTAATAACAACAAAACTCGGGAGACGCGATAAATGATGGTTTGACATCGCCACGTGTCCCTTGGAAGATGTAGAATGGACAATACTTGAATTTCAAACGTTTTTGTTCAATTATCCATTAACGAGCATTGTTCAAAACTCTGGTTTACAAGCCAAAAGAATATGCTGTACATAGAGAAATTAGATGACGAATTTCTGATTCTTGAAAGATGCTCAAGAAGGCTTCGTGTGCTTTTGGAAGTGTGTGGGCGGTTATTACTTCCCAGCTGCCCACACTGTGGAATTTGATTGTTTCATCAAGTACCTGAAACAGAGAGAAGGTTAGTGTTGCGTGACCGCAGAGCCCAAGAGACAACTGCTTGAGGTAGGACACATGCGGCTTTTATGAACTGATTTCTGGGATTGGTTCTATATTAGAAAACTTACCGCCGGTTGCAGACCACCGTAGGGTAAGTCGGGATGTACAATTGTTGGAGTCGACCTTTTCCAACCCCCTCTCTCTCTAGAGAGTGGAGAGACAGCATAGCTGGCTGGCAAACCGGTCATCTTAGGGAAACATCCTCTTCCTGCTGTTACATCTCTGTTCCCCAGCAGTACGACTTTGCCCACTGACCCCAAGCAAGTTGTTAATAACGTATACTATACCGGTAACTGCTTTTAGTCTAATGGCTATCTTAAAGGCCTTCCTGACATGGCAGAACCTGCAGGAACAATAGTTCCAGCCAGTGTAGCTTGTTGGGTCACTACGATGTGCAAGCCCCAATCACCACAACAAGGTAGCATATCATATCTAAGGTAGCAGCGATCGGTCAGGTGATTCTCGAAAAGATATTGAAAACTAACGGTTACTTCGAGGAACTGACCAACAAGTACGGAAGATGTGATGGCTTAAATGCCAAACACTATTACAGTGGAAAACAAGCCTATCTGAATTCAATTCGGCTTTATAGAAGATTGAATACTTAATAGCTAGAAGGTTTGGTTCTCGTTTATCGGACAACATGTTCTTTGGGCCAAGCAAAGGTCACATTTCCCTTCAAGTCTGATGAAGCAATTTTTATCAAATGCTTAAGAGCCAATTTGTGTGTTCAGAAAGAAACAGTTATCGAAGCTTTCTTTCCCCTCGTCGTTACTTTTCCTCTTATGTGATTGCATAATCTTTGGCTTTAACCTGTAGCTTTCTAGAATCCAGGAGCCACTGAATTCCTGCCCAATTGGTTGAATAGTCAACGAGCTTGTTCTCGTAGCCTTATAGAGATTCCAAGTCCAATTCCTGGAGAGAGGTCGTGGGTGCGTGCTGTTGAAAAGTCCCATAATGGGAAGAAACATTTATCTATCCAATTTTCCCTGGTATTTCAGTGATCTCTCCAATTGATGTCAGTTAGGAACGAGATGATCTAACAACAACCGAGACTATCGATGGTGGTTTTTTGGCTTCTGTCGTTTTCAGTGCACACAGAATGAAGAGGAAGTGAAGAGGCATTAAGTAGAGGAGTTGCACTAGGCAAGATAATAGAGATGAAGATGAAGACAAAGGTGAGTGAGGATTAGAGAGGTTTCGCATGCACTTCGGATTGTGAGGGCGATTGTTACTTCCCGGCTTCCCACACCGTGGAAGTTGGTTGCGTGACCGCAGAGCTCAGGGGAAAACTGCTTGAGGCCGGTCACAAACGGCCTGTTTTTGTTTGTTCTTTTTCATTTGGTGTGTCTCAGTAGCGCATTTATCACTTCTGCCCTGTGACACGGCAGCAGAAAGCGCGGTCGTTGTTAATCCGGGCCCCGATCGATCCGGCATGATATTTTCTGATTTGTTTGAAGTCATAGGATTGGATTGGGTAACTGCTTTTAGTCTAACCGCTATCCAAACAACCTTTCTGGCATGGTAGGACCTGCAGGAACATAATTTCCAGCCAGTATAGCTTGTTGAGTCATTGCGGTGTTCAAGCCCGACCACCACGTCAGGGTAGCAGCTTTCGGTCGGGAACAACAACCGAAATCTCCATAAACTCTATAATAAGAATTCAAAAATATTCTTATTATTTGTAGCCAGTTATTTATAGGCACCGAAAATATAACGTTGTAACAACAGAAGACAACGGCCAGGCAACAGTTCGTTTAGTAAGGAAATCAACACATATTTATAGATTTTCATGTACATTATAATAGATTATTGTTAGTAGACAAACACAGTCTTCTGATTGGTGGTTGTTTCTCACTGAACATTAGTTAATCTTTCATCTCTTTGTGACTGTTTCTTGAAGGTCATATTATCTATCTGCTAATTGTATCCGCCTACGCAAACAAAGTCTGCTGTGATTAGTTGTTGAGTCATTCTTTGTTCTTGTTTTCAGGTGACCAATATTTGCGACATAAACACTGACGTAAATTACTGTCTACCAATTTGGCTAGCAGTCAGCTCTCACCAAAACGTGAGTAATTATTGCTCAACATTACTTGAAAGAAGGAACGCTTGAACAGGTGTTTCATTTTACAGGCGTATGTGATGAAGGTGTATGCCATAATACGACAATCACCATCTTAATATGTTTCCGAACAACGAATAAGCACTACAGAATGGTCTTGAATTAGAACACCCAATGAGCAATAGTTTTAAGAACTACCCTGGCAGAGCTGTCCAATTCATGCGTTCTACAAATGAGAGCAGTCTATGACATGAACTATCTTGAAATAAACACATGCGACCAAAACATCTGTAAAAGAAACTCGTCAGTTCAATTCAACCATACGATAAAGAAACTCAATGAGGCATTTCAAGTGAAGACAGGAGTAGAATAAGTTCGACTGCCCTTTTTATCACCCATGATGATCTTCCTAATTGTGGTGGACTGAATTACGTCGAGGAACATTTGTGGAGAGCGAGAAGACAGGAATACGTTGAACTGACTGATAGGAAGACTTTACAAGATCTGGATTTCGCCAACTAGTTATATTTAGTGTCACACACAAACTCAAAGACTTACAGGCGAGAAACCAACAGAGACAGATGGCGGATGAAGCAACGAAGACAGGTCTTCAAGTGAACATAGAAGACAATGGTGATGAAGATAACCAACCAACCAGCCAGCCAACAACAATAACAGCAAGCACCAATTACTATTAACGAAAGAAATTTGAAAGAGGTCACTCGCTCCACTTACCTGGGCACCATCATTTCAAATACAAGCAAGCGAAAGGGATGAAGATGTCAAAACCAGTCAGAATAGAAACAGCAAGACAGACCTTCCTTACCCTGAAACCAGTCTAGGAATCTTTCGCACTCCGCCTCAGCATAAAGAACAAAATTCGGATTTTCAACATCAATGTTAAGCCAGCCATTTCTTCTATCTGGGTCAGAAACTTGGTGTTGTTCACGTCACCATAAGCATTTCTACTAGACTTCTATCAACAGCTATCTTCGTTGTCTCCAGATGGCCGGCCAGACAGAAAGAATTAGCAACAAGAAAGTCTGGGAATGAACCAATCAAGAATCGAAGTCCCAACAAATATTCCGAAAATGAAGATGGACTGGCCATATACTGAAGAGACCTCCGAATGACATAGCACGCCAGGACATCGATCGAGTAGACCCTGTATAGAAAACGATGAGTTGGAAGCGTCGCCTTGACAGTGACATCGAGGTGATCGTGAGGGGAGGAAATCAAAGACAATGGGCCACCGTAGAGCTAACCAGCTAAGGAGTGTACTGCGAAGAATAGGACAAATTGGCGATTTGCCGTTGAATCCGTATGTTCCAAAATCAACATTACAACAAAACAGTTAATAATTATACCATTAAAAACCTTTACATAAGGGTATTTTTTTCAAGGAAAAACTGTGTTGCGCATACCTTTGTCATTCTACGACTACTTGTCGGCGTACCATGATGTTGTCTATTCGATGATGGTGAACCAAAAGCAGACAAACATCTCGTTAAATGAGCTAATATTGCCTTGATCCGACGTAAATGTCCTAAATTCATCCATTCTAATAATTGACGTGGATGGAATTGTGGAAGAACTGGATTAACAACCTATAAAAAAGAGAAAATAAACAAAGGAAAGGAAACAAATGTGTACACAATAGTTGTACGACATTATTATTATTATTATTATTTGAGAAGGCTATTTGTAATATTGTCGTCAATGTTATTGAACATTGAATGAGCAATGTATATACATATGGTTTGTTTATTCGAACTGATACCCAACATTTGGCGGGAAACAAGCATGGCAACCGTTACCTAGCCGTACACTAGTTGGTAGAAGATTGGAGGAAAACGATCAGATGTCTTATTGTGCTTTATATTAATGATTATTCATGGATTTGGCGCCGTGCGTCGGTGGCACAGCGGTTAGGACTCTCGCCGACCATGCACATGGTCCGGGGTTCGATCCCCTGCCGATGCACACCCGATAACTATGGTCGGCCTGCGAAATTTGGGCTACCGATATCACATGCTGAAAATTCCATACCTGTACCAATAAATACGGTGTGAAATCAAGCTGTAATCAAAGAAATTATCAAAGAAAGAATAACACTGTTCTGCTTCATTGTTTGTAAAGAAGTAAACGATCCTGGTATGGCTTTTCTGATATTCTCGCGTCGGTTACCATACACAGTGCCTCTGAGGCATTGACTAGTCGTCTGGAATCAATGATAGGCTCAGGATCTTTTCTGATCTAGGCATTTGACAACTTCCATATTTCAAAATCAAATAAATCTTCTTTATCGACGAAATCATCTTCAGAGAGCTGAGCTACGTATCAATTTCTACAGCCGATAAATGATCAATTGATGTGTGAAGGATAAACTGCCACTTTGGACTGGCCACCTCAATGTGTGTTTACAAATTCACCTGCCGCTCGTGTGGAGCTAGTTATATTGGCCACCCGAACAAAGCGCACACTCTCCAAACGCATCTCTGAACATTATCCGGAATGGTTAGTAAAGGGACAATACAAGACAATTACTAGCTCAATTCTCGAGCATTTGGTGAACTTAGGCCACGTGGCTCCAACAGAGTCATCTTTCAAGATCATCTACAAAGTGAAACCAAATGGTACAAAGGGAGTCAGGTTTCGGCTTTTGTGTATGGCGGAGGCTCTAGCAATTCATCAATACAACCCTGAACTCTGTATACAGAAAAAGTTTGTCCAGCCTCTTATTCTACCTTGGTCTTAACCTCTTCACTAATCGTTCCTTGTAAATAAAATATATTTCGATTTTTCTTTTTCTTTTCATTCTAATTTTACTTAGCTTTTGCTTTAATAATTAATTCACTATTATCACTCTCATATGCTCCTTTTGTATATTTTCACACCCTCTTCGCACTTGTTAAATTGACACTCAACTACCTTTATTCTCACTCAATAGCAATTTTAACCTTATCAAATTTCTATCTTTGTTCCGTTGAGTAACACGTAGTTCACAACTTTTAATTTTCACTTCTAAAGCCACTTCTGAGTAATTATATCAATTATGTCACCGACCACCTATTACTCAATAATAGACCACTATATATTTTTTGGTAGGTATAAATACGATTGTACAGCCTCTGAAGATGATTTCTTCGATAAAGAAAATTTCCTTTGCTGAATTTATCTTTTATTTTCTTCATGACTCATTGGGTATTTTCAGTGATTTCAAATACATCTGCACGTTACAGCCTGTTTTATTACAATAACACAGTCTGCGGTTATTTGCATCTTCAATTCACCGACTGAATAACACATTTTCAAGTGTCGATTTGCAGGGATTTGGTTGGTTACGGCACTGATCAGAAGCTGACATCAGTTCGAGAACCATTGGAAAACTAGTAGGGAGTAATGGGTAGCTGTTTCGTCCCAGCTTGGGAGTCTTCATCAGTGAACCGACACCTGGCAATCAGTCTGAAACTCACTAGCGACTGGCCTTAGACATGAAGATACCTGCAGATCTCGTGAAAATTCGTAACCAAGGAGTCCAGTAAGTCAGGCAAGAGAACAATTACTATCTTTTGGTATTGACTGGCGGTTGGCATCAAACGTATATATCACAAATTTTCAGAAGTGGGGGATTTCATGAACCATTGGGTTGGGTCCAAGCAGCTTAATAGTCTACGAGCTCACTACGTAACCAGGAGGTCATGCGTTCGAACTACAGCAGTGGGAGAGCACTGTTGAAGAGATTCTAACTAGGACGAAACAGCTATCCAGTACTCCCTGTAAATTTCCAATGGTTCTCAAACTGACAGTCAGCTGGAATAACAAATTTGAGAAATGCTGTAAAGACTTGTGTGCTTTCAATTGGAAATAATAGCTGTAAAGAATTGGGCGCTTCCAATTAGAAATAATAACAGTTTGGCGGCAAATGAATAAACACAATCATGACATCATTTTGCGACTGAGAAGCATTGGTCATCCATTTTCACTATTAATAGGTTTTGGGTGATTCAGTTTGCCTGTGAAACCAGTTTAGAATGTATAATTTGAAGATCTCACCTTCGGAGATCGATTACTTTTGTTTCCTATGTATGTATGAAGTTAGGCGTCGAGTGTTAGATAAGAAGGAAAATTCAATCAATGAATTTGCTAAACTACATCGACTCAGACGATAGGGATATGTAGTACACATGACTTTATCGACGATGAATGTTAGCTGATACAGGATCAGATTGGAAAAGACTTCTAGTGGCGGTCAAACTAAAACATAGAATTAGTCCGTCAAATCCTTTGACAGTTAGTTTGAACCAGCTACATAGGGCAGTGTAGACTACCACCAGACTGGTTGGAGTCCTCGGGATTCTAAGAACCAATGACGGCTGGAGACAATTGGTGACATGGCTCAAAATCATTCTCAAAGGCTGGTACAGATATATTCACTCTTTGTGATTTGTCACATTCAACAAAACTTTATTCTCCTTCCATATTACTAGTATTCTTTTTCCCTCACTCACACTTCTGTTTATTATCTCCCTCTCTCTCTTGACTCGCTTCTCTTACTGTGTGTGCTACAAGGAGGGAGAGATTGCCAACTCGAACTGCTGCACATCTGTGCAAAGTTCTATGCTGAAACCAGTCAGTCAGGCAGCCAGTCCATGTGTGTTATGTTACATAGATAGACGTATATTTCCTCAGAATCTGTTCAATGCAGCATCATTTATTTCCGTATATTTTTTGAGGAACAAGATTTTTATTGGTTCACTGGCTGACTGCCTGACTTCCTTGCTTGTCTGACCACTTTTAATTTCCAATATCCCAGAAAGCAAGTTGTTGATGATAATTTTAGATTACATAAATGTAAAGAGCGGCTGACTACATGCTTCAAAACAGTGTACATTAGACTTTCAGTGGAGAAACTAACATAGTGAGGATGTCAAAAGTAATGTGTCATATTGGTACATTCTCCTCTGACTTGGAAACTTCACTCCATTAGACGTTCACGTGGAATCGCTTAAAGATGTAGACATAAATGTTCAATCTTTTTCACAACACTGAAGGGTTCACCCAGGATGACGCTTGAGTGCATATACAGCCTAAAATACTTTGTATTTTGATGACCGTAGACATCGGTCGGTTTTCGACATAGAACTTTGCACATATGTGCGGCAGTTCAAGTCACCACACTCCCTTCATGTAGCACACAAACCAACAGAAGAAAGTAGGAGAAATGCATATTAGAGACAGTAAACAGATGTGTGAGACAAACGAATAGTAATAACGAAGAACAAGACAGTTTCATTGGAAATCATAAGTCACAAGGAGTGAATGCGTCTGCGCCAGCCATTGAGAACGATTTTGAGCCATGTCACCAATTGTTTCCAACCATTGGCTTTTGCCGTCCCGAGGACCCCAATCAGGAAGCCGGTCTACACCTTCCTACGTGGTTTAAACTAAATGTTAAGTATTTCATTGACTGGTGCCATGTTTGGTTTAACCGCCGCTAGCTCTTTTCCAGCTTGACCGTATATCAGCTAACATTGCCTGTCGAAAAAGGCGATGGATGGCTAAGCATACGTAACACATGTCCTAATCATCTCAGTCGATGCAATTTCACAGTCTCGTCGATTGATTTCTTCTCCCACCTACCTAGCACTCGACTGATGCCTAATGTCAATATTGCTCACCTTATTATACCACTTCACGTGGGAGATAGAACGCAGACACCTATGATCAAAGACAGCTAATCTTTTCATGCCTTCCGCTCTCAATGGCCAGGTCTCACAGCCATAAAGGTGGACGGAGCGGACTGTTGAGCAGTACACACGCCCTTTGGTCGATAGTCGCATATCGCGTCTACGCCAGAGACGGCGTAAACTGGCATATGCGGAACTATCCCTCTGTATTTGTGCTGAGATTTCGTCAGAGATCAACCCGTTGGCGTTGGTTGATGGTACTTCCCAAGTAATTGAAGCGGTCAACGTGCTCTACCACTTCACTCTCTATTTCTAATCTAGGGGTCGGTGAAGTCCAATCCTGCAGCATCATCTTACATTTTACAGGGGTTCTAGACCGTAGACATAAGTCATTCTCTTTAGTACAGTCTGAAAATGTTAAAATGACAAGGTTTTACATGCACTTTTTGATTTGACTACAACTTGCTGTTTGTATGTCCCAGAATATTGCTTCCCGAGGAAGAAGATGGCTGGGGATACGTAATACATGTCCTAACCACCTCAATCGATACAGCTTCAAAAATATATTCGACTGACTTCCCCTACTTCCCAAACAATCAACACCTAACCTCAATACCATTCACCCTATTATACCACCGAACATGGGAGACAGTATGCAGAAATCTATGATCAAAGACAGTCAGCTGGCCTTTCCATGTATTCCGCTTCCCCTGGCCATGTCTCACAGCTATAATGGAAGACGGAGCAAACTTCTGCTAAACAAGTCTACATGCCCTCCGAACGATAGCCGCATATTGCGTCTACCTTCAGGGATGCCATAAGTTTGGGGAATCCCACACGTCCACTCAAAACACAAAGGAATCGATATTTGTCGAAAGCGTGCACCAATTAGAAACCAAAACAAAAATGACACATAATAGTAATGACAAAATAATACCCTAATAAATAATAATAATAATGATCCTTAAATGATGTGGTTCTAATTGTTTTTGCTTACCTGTATAGCTTCAAATAATCCAAGATTTGATAATAGTTCAATATCTTTCAATATTTGTTCATTCGATTTAACATCAATTCCACCTGATGTTGCAGAGCTTAAATCAATCTGACTCATTTCCCTGGACAGCTGACGATGATATTCATTAGGTTCAATTGTTGTTGACATCTTCTTCGAAGACGTAGTAGTAGCAGTGTACTGCTGATATTACCACCACCACCCGCAAGGTTAGTTAGATTACTTTGACTTCCAGCGTGCAACAATGACTTTGACGGAGAAGATTTCAACGGGTAGGCAGAATACACCTTAGTTAAACGTGCTACTGACATACTAGCACTCCCAGAGACTGTTGCATCTGTAATATCAGTTGATGTGTTGGCATCAAACGATTCAGTTCTACTGGACGGTGATGATGTAACGGTACTGGCGTGTGAATCTGAAATGAAAATGCACGTTGAGAAAACTACTAGTGAAATGGCGGTGATATTGTGTTGAGAGCTGGCTACGAACAAGCCAAAATTGTAGACAACCAATTTACGTCAATGTTTACTTCCCGAATTGGGGTCATGAGAAAAAAACACAATAACAAAGCTTAGCCTTGAGGAACTCAACAACCAATCATACAGCAGAATTAACGTGTGCAAATATGATTCGCAGATATATGGCTTAACTTTCTGAGAAACGCGCTCACAAGCAGTACAGAATAACCTTCAGCGAGAAAACAACCAATCACAAGACGCTGCTTCTCCGCTGACAATCATATACATAAAAATCTATAAATATCGCTTGATTTTCTCAATAAACGATCTGTGTTACCTGGCCCTTGTCTTCTGTCCTTACAATATGACATAACTCAGAATTTAAATCTGAATACATTGAGTACGTTGTGGTGGTGTGATACAGACAATGTGTGCCAACGGAATGTTATTCTCATATATTCCCACAGTTCTATTCGGCATTAGCAACAGAATACGATGGATCTACTTGAACCCTGTATTTGATGTTAGGGACAGAATACTTTTCCCACGGTTGTTTACTGCATTTACAACAGAATACTATGTTTATGTGAACATTCTATTTCATGCTGTTCGGTGTAAAACGAAATCACACGCTCGGTGATTGATTGGTTAACGAACATAAACTATAGATATATAAGTAGCGGTGTGAATAATGAAATATACCTTGTATAGTTTGGTTTGTAAGGGATAGTTTTGTTTTGAGTTCTACCAAAAGCTGTCTAGTTTGCTGCGAAAGGCTAGACGCTCAGATGTAGTCGTTTTAGCTGGTGACTTCAATGCTCAAGTAGGGAAATTGTGTCAATCTGAGAAGAATGTTGGTGGCACATACGGAATTCCGTGCCAGCGAACCGACAACGGTGACCGTCTCCTACAGTTCTGTTCAGATAATCATTTGTATCTTGTAAGCACTAACTTCAAACACAAGGAGAGACACTGTTTGACCTGGCGACCACCATCATCAAATCAACGCTGGACACAAATAGACCACATAGCAATAAGCTATCGTTGGCGTGGGTCGGTAGGAGATTGTCGCTCCCTCTGGAACACGTGTGTAGATACCGATCACGCACTGGTCCGCGCTCGTGTGTGCTTACGACTGAACGGACGTAGGAAACAGCTGGCGGTAAACCCACCACGTCCCCAGCTCGACCAGGGAACTAAGTCCCTATTTGAGGAAGAACTAGCTAAACACATATCTGAGTTTGACAGCTGCGCTCACCCTGAAGAAGCCTGGAAGAATATTCAGTCAGCCATAGATACAGCTGTAAAAGCTGTGAATAAGGTAAATCCAAAGGTGAGTAAAAACCATTGGATTTCGACTGCCTCATCCGAACTGATAGATGCTAGAAGACTTATTCCGGCGAGCTCCGAATTCAATGAGGAGCGAAAGCTGCACAAGAGGAAACTTACGAAAAGTCTCCGCAAGGACCGTGAACAGTGGTGGTTGACAAAGGCGAAAGAGATGGAAAAAGCATCGGCGATAGGCAACACCAGACAACTATTCAGGCTAATCAGGGAAACAGGTGGTAAAAAACAAATGATAAGCGAAACAATCTCCGAGAAAAATGGCACCATAATTAGCTCCCAGGATAGACGTCTGGAGCGCTGGAAAGAACACTATGAGGAGCAGTTTAATTGGCCCACAGCCACACTTAACCTACCGGACATCCAACACCTCCCTGAATGGGAGATAGACACAGGTCCTCCGTCCTTAACCGAGGTTACTAAAGCTGTCACCAACCTGAAGCTAGGCAAAGCAGCGGGACCTGATTTATTGACTCCAGAGGTATTTAAGTACGGAGGCGACAGTTTACTGTCTGCGTTAACGGAGGTTCTAGGCAGCGTCTCGGAATCAGAGGAAGTCCCATCGGGTTGGTGTAAGTCACTGATCATCCCGATATACAAGAAGGGGGACAAGTCGTCTTGTGATAATCACAGAGGGATTAGCTTGACTAATATAGTATCTAAAATCCTAGGCTCAATAATACTGCGTAGATTAAGTGGTGCTCGGGAGACACAAACACGAGAAAACCAGGCAGGTTTTAGGCCAGGTAGAGGGTGTATTGATCACATCTTCACCCTTCGACAGATTCTAGAACATAGGCACTCCTACCGGCGTCCGACAATCATTATATTTCTTGACCTAAAGGCGCCATTCGATTCCGTCGACCGGGAGGTTCTCTGGCGATGCTTGGCTGTTAAGGGAATGCCAAGAAAATACATTGCACTGATTAAGGCACTCTACTCGTACTCATGCAGCCAGGTGAGGGCTTATGGCGAGTTGTCATCTGAAGTGGTGACGACTAGTGGCGTCCGTCAAGGATGCCCATTATCCCCATTCCTATTCAATTTCATCATAGATGTACTAATGGACCTAACCCTAACTCACTTCAGCGACTCAGGGATTGACTTGCTACCAGGGAAGAATCTCGTTGACTTAGAATATGCGGACGATATAGTCCTTCTAGGCGAGGACTCTGACAAAATGCAGAGTCTACTGAACACCTTGAGCAACAACCTCCGCATGTTTGGCATGCGATTCGCCCCTATAAAATGTAAGATGATGCTGCAGGATTGGACTTCATCGACCCCTAGATTAGAAATAGGAAGTGAAGTGGTAGAACACGTTGACCGCTTCAATTACTTGGGAAGTACCATCAGCCCCAACGGGTTGATCTCCGACGAAATTTCAGCACGAATACAGAGGGCTAGGTTCGCATTCGCCAGTTTTCGCGTCTCTGGCGTAGACGCGATATGCGACTATCGACCAAAGGGCGTGTGTACTGCTCAACAGTCCGCTCCGTCCACCTTTATGGCTGTGAGACCTGGCCATTGAGAGCGGAAGGCATGAAAAGATTAGCTGTCTTTGATCATAGGTGTCTGCGTTCTATCTCCCACGTGAAGTGGAATAATAAGGTGAGCAATATTGAGGTTAGGCGTCGAGTGCTAGGTAAGGCGGGGAAATCAATCGACGAGACTGTGAAATTGCATCGACTGAGATGGTTAGGACATGTGTTACGTATACCTAGTCATCGCCTTCCTCGACAACAGGCAACTTGAACTGCCGCACATATGTGCAAAGTTCTATGTCGAAAACAGACAGACAGACAGACAGACAGTTTTGTTTTTACGAGTTGATCACGGATTGATATCAGTTAGAGAACCATTGAAAACCAGGGAGTACTGGACAGCTGCTGTTTCATCCTAGTTTGGGAATCATCGGCAGTACGCACCCACATTATGGGGTTCGAACCCACGACCTTCCAGTTACAAGGCAAGCTCGTATACCATTCAGCCAGTGAGATCCGATTCAATGGCTAGCCCATGAATTCTAACTTCTACCAATTCGTGATTTAGCGCGACCATTGTCGTTGGTGGGACATCCATCCTCACACGTGACATCTGGATGGACCTCAGTGGTCACGACTTATCACTAGAACTGACTCCAGGAAACTCCATCCTGTAGCAAGTCACTAGAGAGCATCAGATTAATTTTCTATAGTTTGGTTTGTAGGGTTAGTTTGTTTTTACGAGTTGATCACGGATTGGTATGAGTTAGAGAGCCATTGAAAACCAGGGAGTACTGGATAGCTGTTTCGTGAGTATTAGTATGGGTGCGTTCTACCGATGATTCCCAAACTAGTGGGATGAAACAGCTGTCCAGTACTCCAGTGCTGGTTTTCAATGATTCTCTAACTGATATCAATCCTTGATCAACTCGTAAAAATATATATTGATGGTTCCCGTTTGTTGCCTTCTGTTATTACACCGTGAAACTTTCCCCTAATCTGTGATAGTTATCACCAGAGTATACCCTGTCCATTTAGATCTTCTTTTCCGGATTCAAAGTGCTTAGAAGACACTTGTTTCATGCACAAGATTATGAAGAATAGAGATTGTATAAAGGTTGAACATATCCAGTTGCCTATTCTGAATCAGATAAGACAGGATATCAACTGAGAAGCTTTTTGTGTGCTTATGGAAGGGTGTGTGTGGGCTATTACTGCCTGACAGCTAATATACCGTGGAAGTTGGTCACCTCTTGGAGTACATGAAACACAAGGAGGAGGGTGTGTGGCATTCATGTTGCATGACCACACACCCCAGAACACAACCAGTTGGGGCCGGTCACAAATGTGAGGTGGTTATCGGAGTTGTATCCGTATGAAAATCTTACTGTAGGCTTTAGGGTAGAGGGTGCATAGATCATATCTTCACTCTCCAACAGATCCTAGAACATAGGCACACTTTCCGGCGTCCAACAATTGCCATATTTCTTGACTTGAAGGCGGCTTTCGACTCCGTGGATAGAGAGGTACTATGGCAATGTTTGACTGTGAAGAGAGTGCCAAGAAAGTACATTGCACTAATCAAGGCACTCTACTCAAACTCACGTAGCCATGTAAGGGCTTATAGGGAATTGTCATCTGAATTGATAACAACCAGTGGTGTCCGTCAAGGATGTCCACTTTCCCATTTTCTGTTTAACTTCATCATAGATATGCTAATGGAAGTATCCTTAACTGAACTTAACAACTTAGAAATCGACTTGTTACCAGGGGATAGTCTTATAGACTAAGAATACGCAGATGACATAGTCCTGTTAGAGGAGGATGTTGACGAAATGCAGAGTCTTCTGAACACCTTGAGCAGCAATCTTCGTATGTTTGGCATGCGATTCGCCCCTGTAACATGTAAGATGCTGCTACAGGACTGGACTACATCTACCCCTAGCTTAGTGATAGGGAGTGAAGTGGTAGAACATGTTGACCACTTCACCTATTTGGGAAGTTGTATCAGCACCAACGGATTGATTGGTGACGAAATCTCAGCACGGAAACAAAAAGCTCGGGCTGCTTTCGCTAACTTACACCGTCTCTGGCGTAGGCGTGACATCCGACTATCAAGTTACTGTAGGCTATGGACAGTCTCAAGATAAGTCGGTATGAACAATTTTTGGGGCTGAGCTTCTCTAACTTGCCCTGTCTCAGAAACAGAGAAACAGCATAGCTGGCTTTCATTTTATCTGAGGGGAACACCTTCCTATTTCTACAGACACAATTACCAGTAAGCTGTGCAACTTTGCTCTCACACCCAAAGTGAAAGTGACTTCTGCCATGATGGAAACTATTTTCGGTCAAGACGACATTTCTAGCACAGTAGAACCTACAGTAAGATTAATTTCAACGCAATGCTCGACACGTCACCCAGTTATTAATACTGCATTATCACTGCGTGACATATAAATTAAACCTATCTATTATGGAATCACAATCTACCACCACAATGCACAAGTTCTAGACTTACATGCATAGAGTCAACCAAGAGAATCAAAATATATTTTTAAATATTGGTTTAGTAGGAATTTTGTTTAATTAGTGGGTGGTGCGCACCGATGAAGAACCCCAAGCTAGTGCGAAACAGCTGTACAGTAATCCCTGGCAAGTTTTTCCAATGGTTATCTAACTGATGTCGGCTTATGATGAAATCTTCAAACGGATCAAATAAAAATCCCTACAAAACCAATACTTGATGAATTTGAATAAGGCATTTTTAGAAGACAAATTTTGCGAGATGTTATCCTCATTTCGTAGTTTCTTTAAAACCGCTTTAAAACTAACATGGTTAACAATAATAAAATATCTTCATTTCACCAGTTTTGTTCCTATCCAGTATAAACGTTCCTTAGGGAAATGTTTGTTCTCAAGGGCTTCTGTACCAATGAAAGCTATCTTTATTAACCTACCATTCAAGGGCAACCAGATTATGCAGTTGACAGCTAGCTAGAAGACTTCGGTCAGCCATCAAACGCACATTCTACGCCGCATCTCTTTCCCTCACATGCCGAACATTTTCGATCCCCGTACCTACGATTAAAGGACGAAACTCTGTGAACTCTACTTCAAACTGTATCTACAAGTTCACTTGCAGCTGCGGTGACACCTATATAGGTAGAACCAACAGAATGTTCCAATGTTGTCGAAAAGAACATGTTCCAAAATAGCTACTAAATCATATAGAAAATTCGAACGAGATTAATCTGAATAGAAATCCAGCATCATCCATTGCAAAACACGTATTAATGTCAGGTCATAAAATCAATACTAATGACTGTTTCACAATCATTTTACATAACTCTAATACAAGGTTGGTTATTGAAGGTGATGGAAGCACTTTGGGGGATTAATCGCATACAACCTAAACTGTGTGTACAAAAAAAACAATAAACTTCAACCTTCGCCTACCATGGACTACTTGACCTTTCTTAAATATGATCGGTCATTAGTATGTACTTTTGTCTTTTATATAACTGAGTAATTGTCATGAACTTTATTTGGTTGTAAAGAAACTACGAAGTGACGATATCATCTCGCGGAGAAATTTGTCTTCTAAATGCCTTTTTTCAAATTTATCAAACAGGAACTAATTGTTTTAATTTTCTCAATACTTGATAATAAATTCGTTAAAAAAAAAGAGTCCCATCGCTGCATCACTTGTTTTGATTTTCCATATGCCCAAAATGGGAATTTTCCATGAATACGTACTGAAGGCTTGCTTAAATCGTGTGCAAGAAACTACTGTCTGTCTCACGTAACAATAAATATATGAATACATATTAATATACAGGATATATATATATAGTGCGTCGGTGGCACAGCGGTTAGGACGCTCGCCGACCATGCACATGGTCCGGGGTTCAATCCCCGGCCGCCAACGAACTCCTTTACCTCGCTAAGCCAGGAATAGAACTGGCAAAGAGGGAAGGTTGGGCATGAGGCCAGTAACCCCATCCCGTAAAAGTAAACACCACTGCAACAGAAACTTGGAGCCACTAGCTTGAAGCCCTATGTTCCACTGGGAACGTGAAGGAATTATATATACAGGCCTTAAATATATATATATATATATGGGCCTTCGACAGCGTTGACCGCGAAGTAATTTGGAAACTACTCGAGTACTACGGCGTACACCAAATATTCATCAACCTTATTCAACAGCTGTACGACAACGGAACATGTAAACTGATCCACAACGGAAAACCCAGCGAGGCGTTTGGAGTAAACACAGGAGTCAGACAAGGGTGCTTATTATCACTAATAATATTCCTAATTGCGGTGGACTGGATTATCCGTCAGACAGTGGGAAACGAGAAGACAAGGATATCCTGGACCGAAGTGAAGAATCTAGAATACCTGAATTTCGCGTGTGGATGATATATATATTTGGTGTCACATAAAATCGAAGACTTACCAGCGAAAACCGACAAACTGGTCGAAGGAGAAGCAAAGACAAGACTCCAGGTGAACATAGACAAGAAGGAGGTTATGAAAATAACCGACCAACCAACAACAACAACAGAAGCAGCAACATCCAGTGCCAATCACCATCAACGAGAGGGATTTGAAAGAGGTTACGTCATTCACCTATCTAGGGAGCACTGTCTGAACTACGGGAGGAACGGACGGACGAGGATATCAAATCGAGAATCGGGAAGGCGAGAAACACATTCATCAACCTGAAACCAATCTGAAAATCTTCGTCACTCAACTCAGCATCAACAACAAAATTCGGATTTTCAATACAAACGTCAAGTCAGTCAGTTCTTCTATACGTACGGATCAGAAACTTGGTGGGTCACAAAGAATATTTCCAACAGCCTGTTACAGACCTTTATCAACAACTGTCTTCGCTCCATTCTGATGATCAGATGGCCGCCGGAAAGAATCACCAACAAGAAACTATGGGAACAAACAAAGCCAGAACCAATCGCCCAACAAATATGCAGGAAAAAGTGGAGATGGATTGGACACTCGCTGAGGAAGCCCCTGGGTGACATCGCACGTCAGGCCAACGCTCGAGTGGAACCCGAAAGGGAAGCGGCGAGTGGGACGTCCAAGGGTGACATGGAGGAGATCGTGTGAAGAGGAGCTGAAACAGTATGGAATAACATGGATGCAAGTGAAAAGTACAGCACAAGACAGAAGCAAGTGGAGGCGTGCAGTTGAAGCCCTATGTTCCACTAGAAACCCAAGGGAACAATAATAATATAATATTATATATATACATGTATATATATATATATGCTTGTCATACAACCAACCCACTTACTATCGGATTTCACCTTCACTTGCCATTTGAATACACTGAAGTAGCTATCAGATGGCCATTGGCTGAACAATTGCATTTCAGTTCTGGCACCAACCAATAATAAACCATCTCTTAGCCAAGCTGCTTGTTTATGTCCTCCACTGTGGCGATGATGGCGCTGAGGAATAGGCTTCTTCGTTGTTACATCATCTAATGAATAAGATTTCAACGGTTGTTGTTCAGGATCATTTGATGACGATGGAGATGATGGCGACGACGCTGTTCCAGGATAATCAGCTGTCATAATACGTGAACATGCTATCGGTTTCCAACCGATGTAGACTTCACCGAGTGTTGTCATCAGTGTAGGTTGATACAGATGTCCTCCTCTGAGTTTACTGTTATTTTTATTATTATTATTATTAGATGTAGTAGTAGTACTAGCAGTGGTAGTATGTGTAAAATTAATATTTTGACAGACAGGTGCAAATACAAAGATTTCGCAGTCAATAATTACAGACAGTAAGTGTCCACCGTCTTCTGCATTCACCCAATCCAACTGAATCGATAACTAGTCAACACAACAAGAAAAACAATAACATTAATACAAATAAGCAATTATACAAAAATAAATACTCGCCAAAGACACTGGCTAGTGGTCGTGCTATGTCGAGCTAGCTCGCCTTGTAACTAGAAGGTGCTGGGTTCGAACCCCCCCCCCGTGGTGGGTGCGTACTTCTGAAGATTTCCGAACCAGGGGGACGAAACAGCTGTCCAGTACTCCCCTAGTGCTGGTTTTCCAACGGTCCTCCAATCGATGTCAGCTAATTAAAAGCATGCTGTTGTTGTTTCTCGATACTCTCAAGAACTGATCGAAAATTTGCTATCATTATCATTCCTTTGCGGTTCCCAGTGGGGTATATCCTTGTTCATCGAATCTACACCCAACACATGCAATAGGAATGATTCATCACTCATACCCGAAATATGGAAAATATTACTACCAATCAAATCAAGTGAAAAACAATGGAACTAGATAAATGAATTTAGGAATTCGTGTGATTACCTTGATATGATTATTAGCAGTAATAAATTGTGCTCGAAACGTCATCAGTAAACATTACTGTATAACACTGTGAGACTTTATCAAAACAAAATTTACCCATAATGGAATATATCACCATAAGTTTGCATTCCCCCCAGCCCTATCATTACACGATCTCTTCCACTATATCACACCACCTTCAGAGTTATGCCCAACTCATCGCTTCCTTTACATCCGGGTACCACTCTCGAGGGTCTGATAAGCGTGTGATGTTACCCGATGGACTCAGTAACAGAAAAATTATTTGGAAAATCCTTCCTGAAGCCATTCTAATTACAATATTAGCACTAATCGGGATGTTTCAACTAACTAACTTTGTAATTATCATCCACTATGTGATGTTATCCTTGTAAAATTAACTTATTCTAACCATTTCTACCTTTTAAATGTGTATTGATTTCTTTCCTTTATTATCAACCCATTGACATTTTGACACTGTTTAATTATTGTTGAACAAACATATCAGTGTCACTTGTTTGGTAAACTGTTGTGTATCGCAATAAAAGTGCTATATATATGTATATTAGAGTAGAGCCAGAGAGAGATGAGGATCTAATTGAAAAGTAAATGTTTCTTCGCTCAATCTTTCTGTATTCTTAATTTCTCAAACATAGTCATTAGTCATGCATTCTGATTTACTCTGTGTTACAAATTGGCAATAACCTTTGATATTCAAGTGCTGGTTGGCAGGGATTCGATTGGTCTCAAGATTTCATCCTGGGAGTTTTGGACAGCTGTTTCGTCCTAGTCTTCCGAGACACTACAACAGCACCCACCCACCATCACGGTTAGAAACCAGCACCTTCCGGTTACAAGTAGAGCTCGTAGACCATTCAGCCACTGGGACTGGCCAGTCCATGAATTCCAACTTCTGCCAATTCATGCACGATATAGCGCCACTGGCACTAGACAATGTCCACGCTGGTAAGAACTTGTCCTCCCACGCGACCTTCTGTACCCTAGTGGTCACGATTTCCCAGCAGAACCCAGGTAAAATTACGCACCTGATGAAGAGTCCCCAAAAAGGATGAAACAACTGCCTGGCAGTACTCTCAAGTTTCCCAATGGTTCTCCAACCGATGTCAGCTTATGATGAAATCCTGAAATAACCGTTGACGTCTGTTGTCAATAATCTACATTGAACATATTGTGGCAAGTGCTACTGATAAGATTCATCAGTAGTATATAAAGAGATGTCCATCGGCATAAAAACATCAAACAGCATGGAGATACATTTTATGTCAGAGAAAGCAAATGGCACAGCGTTGCGCAGATACATGGGAGATGTGGAAGGAATACAAAGAAACACACACAATATAAAGGAAGGCCAGAAGCAGGAGAACACGGAAGATCTGTGCAAATGGTGATTTGAAGATAAGGCGCACATAATTTCATTATATGGAGATACCAAATTCCAAATAAACATTCCTTTGACCAAGTCTCTCGTTTTCTACAGTTACAATATAACCCCCCCACACACACACACACTTAAATAACTAACTGTATAGCTTTGAAGTAGTGCGTCGGTGGCACAGCGGTTTAGGACGCTCGTTGACCATGCACATGGTCCAGGGTTCGATCCCCTGTAATAGAACTGGCAAAGAGGGAAGGTTGGGCATGAGACTAGCAACCCCATCCCGTAAAAGTAAACACCACTGCTACAGAAACTTCAAGCCTCTAGGTTGAAGCCGTATGTTCCACTGGGAACGTGAAGCAATCAAAAAAAGTAGCTTTGAAGTGAAGCGATGAAAAGAGGGGATCTCTTGTTCCCAACCCATATTTGTTCTTAAAAAAAAACGCATACATCACATATAGCATGTAAAAAGCTTTGATGCAGTTGTTAGAATTTACCTCATCAAGAGTATTGCTGTTGTTGTTATTCTCCTGAAGTGGAAATGAAGATGTAAACTCAATAGTATCTTCCAGTATCCATTCGCAACCGCCTAAAATTAAAAGAAATACACATGTATACACATACAGATGAATGTGAATACCAATCATTTTGAAAGAGAAATGCAAAAATAGAAGGGAAACAAAAATGGGGGCTTTAGTAGGCTTAGGCTTCACTTAGGATGAAAAATCTACTGAGATGATAGCTAACAATCAAATTAGGCGCCTCTTACCTTGATAATAATTACTATTTCATCATATTACTAAAAGAACAAAGCGAATTCAGCACAGAATATCTTTTTCGATAATTCGCTCTTCAATTATATATGTGTTTGTATACATAGAAATACGCTGTATTTTCAAAACCACCCCCATTTCGGGTTCGGGATTAAAAATAGAATTGCCTAATTTCACCTCTTCCATATGTATCTACCAATTTAACTGTTCCTGTGGAGCCAGTTACATAGGCTGTACAATTAGGCATGTTTCTCGTCGAATTTCCGAACATCACCCTGCCTCAAGAATTGAAAATATTTATTTCCCGATACAAATTTAAAACAAACAATAAAGGTTAATAAAGCAGGATTTAATGAATTCATCAAATTTCGGTAGAACTCGTCAGCTGAATACTACTCTATATACACGGAAATATATACACTTTTAGAATTACATTGGGAGATATAAGACTGATAAGCAAATAAACTGCATTGAATTAGTCATTCAGAAAGACAGGTGCGAATGTTTCCCTGGTCATGTTCAAATAGATAAGGGGAGAGAGAGTATGAGAGATCGAAATTAACATAAGATGCATTGCGCTTCAATTACATCACTTAGATAAACAATTAGGCATTAGAGAATATAACAAGAATTGCAAACAGAGTAATATCAATAGTAATAGTTATGATAATAATAATAATAGTGTTGAAGTGAGTTAAGATAATCCTACTGATAAAGGATAGGTTTAAAACTTTTAAATGATAGTTTTAAAACTATCTTTTATCAGTAAGATTATCTTAACTCCCATTATCTATTTGAACATGACCTGCGAAACATTCACACTTGTCTTTCTGCATGACTAATTCAATGTAGTTTATTTGCTTATCATTCTGATATCTCCCAATGTAATTTCAACAGTATATATATCCGTGTATATAGAGTAGTATTCAGCTGACGAGTTCTACCGAAATTTGATGAATTCATTAAATCCTGCTTTATTAACCTTTATTGCTTGTATTAAATCACCCAGCCTAGTGGTTAAGTAAAGCTCAAACAAAATCTATTCGTAACGCTATTCTATTTCATCTTGTGGATACAGAACACAAGATTGATGTCAACCAGGCTCTCAAAGTCATTTACTGGATACCTACTAATCTTAACTTTTTTTTTTTGATTTACAGCTTGATTCCACACCGTATTTTCAGTACAAGTGTGGAATTTTCACCCAAAGAGTTCGTCTACTACACACACATGAGGCCTTAAGGGTCCCCACATTAAGGAACCCAACTTATGTATCCAAAAGAAGCTGCTCCACACACCATTCAGACTCACCCAATGACAGCTTCATACTACGTATAGAATCCGCTGTAGATTTCTCAATTCTATTCATTACTGTACCTACAGGTTTCTTAATTTCTTCATATTCGAATGTCTAAACAATTTTTACTCAGGTATATAAATGAAGCAAAAACGTTGTGTGAGTGAGTGACTTGATGTGATTATGAGCAGCAATAGTTTGTGCTCGAAACGTGGTCATCAGTTAATATTACTGTACAACGAAAACTGTGTGATTCTATCAAAGTAAAATTTTATCCATAATGGAGTTATACTCTACCACCGCAGTGCCGAAGTTTTATACTTATAACAGTAAGTTCACTTTAAATCTGTAAATATTCCCATTTATAATATTAGAACAAGACATATAAGCGAACAATATTGTTTTCAATTAGATCTTCTTCAGGCTTTACTCTAATTTACATAGATTTATATATAAAATTTTAACCAATGACGGTGATTTTGGGAATCAAATAATAATCTTAATTGTCTTAATAATAATAATAATAATGTGGTAAATGTTTTGAACGTAGTTAATAACGATGATTATAATGATAGTGATAACAAGGTATATACAGGTGGCGATAAGAATAACAAAGATAGTATATGTATATAAGTGTATAAATAAATTGGGTCAAATCTTAAAAGGTGAAGTGGAACGATAATCAGAATTTAAATAAATATTATAAAAGTACGAAGGAGGTGGAAAATAAGAAAGGGTGGGAGGGTTTTGAATACAATTCACCTAGGCCAAGGGAGAGACAAAGGTAGAACAAACTTCTTTTGTATGCAAAGACTGGGATTGTTCTCTCGAATTCCCATAGCTTCGGCTATGTCTGTAAAAAGCGGATTCAAATTCCGTTAGAAAGCCTAGATTGAATGCGATAGTTAACTTTGAAGGCACTACATTTGTCCACTTGGTGACCGCTATCAATCAAATGAGCCAAAATAGAACTTCTTATAGATTTTATTTGACCCTTTTCAAACCAAGAAGGAAGATGCTCAACAATGCGTTTGTTAATTTGTCTAGTTGTTCACCCTATATAAGTTCACTTTATATGAAAGCTGTCGACTGAAGCGATGTTATTCTAGAAGGCGGACAATGAAAGCTTCTCAATTGAAATCAACAAGCCAGCTCAGAGAACACACACACACACAAACACACAATAAAATCACATAAAAAAGAGAACACATTACTTACCACTCGATTCACATTCATATACAGTCACATAGATCGTCCTACTACTTCTGCTATTATTACTGGTAGTAGTAGCAGTAGTCGTTATACTTCTATCACCGTCATATAATTGTTGAGTAGTATACGCTACAGCCAAACGTCCACTATATGCACAATCCATATCCAATATAATAATAGTAGATGCAGCAGTCATTTCCAGACTAGCGTTATTATTATTCTTAGTAGTAGTAGTACTGTTGTCTTGTAGCTGTAATTCAATACAACTGGACATTGATTGCATCAATGGCATTTGCCATTCATCCCAAGTGAATAGATTGATAAATTTGCTTTTAACTATATATTTGAAGAAGAAGAAGAAAAATCAGAAGAAAAAATGTACAATAAAGAATTATTGGCAAAGTAAAGTGAAAATTGGAGTGGATTTACAGACAAGGAGACTCTTCAGCAGTGCGAACATACGATCCTACAAACGATGGAATTTAGATACCCCCCCCCCCAGATTATGCGACTAAGCGCGTTAGTTTGTAGGGATTCTGTTTGTTTCACGTTAGAGTAATTCTTGAAAATAAATCTGATGCTCACTAGTGACTGGCTAAAGGACGTAGTTAGTCGCCTAGAGTTCTAGTGAGAAGTCGTGACCAGTGGGGTCCATCCAGTCAGGAGTGAGCATGGAGTTCTCGCCGATGACATTAGTTGGTGGTCGCGCTAAAATTCACGAATTGGTAGGAGTTAGAATTCATAGGATGGCCATTCAATCGGGTTTCCATGGCTGAATGGTTTACAAGCTCGCCTTGTAACCGGAAGGTCCTGGATTCAAAACCCAGTGAATGCGCACTGCCGATGAGTCTGCAAGTAGGACAGAACAGCTGTCCAGTACTCCCCAGTTTCCAATGGTTCTCTAATTGATATCAATCCGTGATCTAACCTTATATATATATATATATATATATATATATATATATATTATTCCGTTGCGTTCCTAGTGGAACACGGAGATTCAGCAAAGCATCTCTATTTTATTCTGATCTCTGTCTGCAGTTCTCTTTAGCTCACCCCACGACTGCCCATAAGCTTTCATCTCCTCCCCCACATTGTCTTTTTTATGTCACACTATGACACTCGCCCAACTCGTCTTTTCCTATTCAGGTTCCACTCGATGTCACTCAACAGTCTGCTTACTGTGTGTCTGATTCATCTCCAATTTCTTCTGGATACTCCCTTATCCAGCGATAGGTTCTTTATTGGTTCGTTCCCAGGCCTTCTTGTTGCTAATTGTTTCTGGTTGGCCAGCCACCTGATCTTCGATATGGAGACAACGAAGAAGTCAGCTGTTGATAAAAATCTACAGAAGAACTCACTGGATTAACATTAATGTTGAAAATCACAATTTTGTTCTTTATGCTGGCTGAGTGAGTACAGAAGATTCCCAAACTGATTTCAGAGTGATGAAGACGTGTTTTGCCTTTCCAATTCTGGATGGTTTTGACATCTTCATCCATTCCGATTTGCCTGTATTGTATTTGAAATTATAGTGACCAGATAAGTGGAGCGAGTAGCCTCTTTCGTATTTCTCCCCTTGATAGTGATTAGTGCTTACTGTTGTTGTTGTTGTTGGCTGGTCGATTAGTTATCTTCATCATCTCAGTCTCCTAAGTTCACTTAGAATACTGTCTTCGCTGCCAGCCTCTTCAGCCAACTTGTTAGTTTTCGACTGCACGTCTTCGAATTTTTGTGACATTAGACATAAATCGTCCACCGAGGCCAACCCGTAGTTTCCCATTCAGGTTCCACTCGAGTGATAGCCTGGCGCACGATAACAGTCAACCGTCTTCTCACTGTGTTTCCAATCCATCTCCATTTTCTTCTGGATATTTCCTTGTCCAGCAATAAGTTCTTAATTGGTTCATTCCCAGCCCTTCTTGTTACTAATTCTTTCTGGCTGGCTGGCCGGTCATCTGATCTTCAGTATGGAGCCAGAGAAGAAGTAAGCTGTTGATAAGCCTACAAAAGTTCGCTTTTCACGATGCGTTGGTCAAGTTTCTGACTCATATAGAAGAACTCACTGATGAGAATCCCAGTTTTGTACTTGATACTGTGTGAGTACAAGAGATTTCCACACTGACTGCATCAGAGTGATGAAGGCCTGTTTCGCCTTTCCAATTCTGGCTGGTTTCGACATCTTCATCCGTTCCAATTGCCTGTATTTGAAACGATGGTGCTCAGATAAATGGCATGAGTGACTCTCACAAATTTCTACCGTTGATAGTAATTGGTCTTTGCTGTACTTGTTGGCTGGTTGATTGGTTATCTGCATTACCTTCGTCTTCTATACGTTCACTTGAAGACCTATCCTTCCTGCCAGCCTCTTCAGCCAGTTTGTTAATCTTCACCTGCAGTTCTTCGAAGTTTTGTGAAATCGGACATAAATCGTTCGAGAAGTTCAAATAATCTAGGGTCTTCTTCATTGTTCAACTTATTCCGGTATTTTCACTCCCTTTGCACAATCTGACGCGTAATACAGTTGACAACAATTAGGATTGTCATTGGTGATAGTAAGCAAGCGGTGTTGTCTTACTCCTATCTTCACTTCAAAGACTTCTTTGTTGAGTTTCGCATTGTGAATCACTTGACAAGTGACACTGCCATAAGGCTCAAGCTGAAAATCGAGTACTAAAGCCGGTGAATTAGCCTTACCTCCACATAAGAAATGAAAACTGTGACATAATTACAAGCACATGGAGTGAAAAACACTCATAATGATGCTTAATTTGATATTTAAAGTTCTGTCAATGAACACAGATGAGGATTAAACACGGCCAGGATTTGTACACATTACATACCGATCCCCATAACCGTACTGTAAAGAAGAGAAGACCGATGAGGCTCGAAAGCAATATTTATTAGGATAAACTCATCGTAGGTACATAAATTTGATATACCTTATTTTTGATGCTATTAGATAGTTGGAGGCAATCGACAGGAAGCCTTGGACACCACCTAGGTTTCGTGCTAGTTGGCACTCACCAGTCCGCATCACCCAGTGGCGCAGCCACAGACATTACCGCTGAGCTATTCAGTCTCGCGATTGGACAGTAGTAACTAGTGTCCAGTCAAAATACTTTATCTTTAATGCTTTATTTGCACATCATTTGCAAATTGGTCAAATATCACCACATTCGATAGCTTATTGGATTCTGCACAGTGTTGTTTGATGTTCTTCTCACAGTTCTCTTCTTCTTCGATTGCTTTTTTTCCAGTGCCCAAAACACACAAATAATTTTATGAGTTCGTTTACTGAGATACTACTACTCATATGTGATTATAAGTAGCACTCACCACAGTATTACATATATATACAGAAATTATTATTATTTAAACGCAGAAGAAAAATGTTGATATAATATGGCACCAAGAAAGATGCGCCACACAATTTTAGTAATAAAACAACATAGATTAAAAGTAAAAATATAAGTAGAAAACGGAAAAAGAACATCTGGAAGGAAAACAGTCATGTTTAACAAGTTCAAACAGTATTCGTTAACTATCATCGGGAAGGGAAGAAAGAATGCAATCGCAGCACGTTCACCATTCACTGATTGCGATTCTTGGCCATATTCGATAACGTTTCGAGCCACCGATTCGAGCTATCTGTCGGACTCCAACCAGGGAGTCGTGACGCACCAAACGATGCTAATCTAGCACAAATATCCTTCATCCCACGACGCCACGTCATGGACTGACCACCCCTCCACCTTTTCCATCCCGTCCCAGGGCTAGCGAACAGAGACCTGTACGGAATCCTCTGGGATAACATTCGCAGCATATGTCCAAGCCACCGGAGTCGGTGTTTTTAGATGACAACACTCAAGAAATGGTGATCTCCACTGTGTCTGTCTGTCTGTCTAGATTCAACATAGAACTTGGCCACAAAGTGCAGCAGTTCCAGTTGCCACGTTCCAAATAGCACACAAAGGTAGACAAGAAAATGAGTGAAGAGAATCAATAGAGTTTTGACAAGTATAAGAGTGAAACAGAATGAGTAATGGTAGAAAGGAATATGAAAGGTTAAAGAGACTGAATACATCTGCGTAAGCCATTGACAACGATTTTGAGCCATGTCGCCTATTGTCTCCAGCCATTGATTCTTAGAGTCCCGAGGGCGGGCCCCAACCCGGAAGTCTGCATCTCCCTACCTGACCCAGTTTAACTGTCAGGGATTTCATGGATTGATGCCATGTTTTTGTTTGGCCACCACTTACTCTTTTCCAAGCTGCACCTATATCAGCTAGTAATGCCCGTCCGTCGGGGGAGGCGATGGCTAGGCATGCGCAGCACGTGACCTAGCCATCTCAATCTATGTAACTTTATAGCCTCTTCGATTGATTTTCCCTCTTTGCCCAACACTCTACGCCTGACGTAAACATTACTTACCTTATTATACCACCTAACGTGAGAAAAAGATCGTAGACATATATGATCAAAAACAGTCAACCTTTTCATGTCTTCAACACGCCTTGGCCATGTTTCAGAGCCATAGAGAAGGACGGAGCGAACTGCTGAGCAGTACACACGTCCCTTGGTTGACAGCCGGATGTCACGCCTACGCCAGAGATGGTGTAAGTTAGCGAAAGCAGCCCTAGCTTTCTGGATCCGTGCTGTGATTTCGTCACCAATCAATCCGTTGGTGCTGATACAACTTCCCAAATAGGTGAAGTGGTCGACATGTTCTATCACTTCACTCCCTATCACTAAGCTTGGAGTTGACGTAGTCCAGTCCTGTAGCAGCATCTTACATTTAACAGGGGCGAATCGCATGCCAAACATACGAAGATTGCTGCTCAAGGTGTTCAGAAGACTCTGCATTTTGTCAGCGTCCTCCCCTAACAGGACTATGTCGTCTGCGTATTCTAAGTCTATAAGACTATTCCCTGGTAACAAGTCGATTCCTAAGTCATTAAGTTCAGTTAAGGATACTTCCATTAGCATATCTATGATGAAGTTAAACAGAAAAGGGGAAAGTGGACATCCTTGACGGACACCACTAGTTGTTATCAATTCAGATGACAATTCCCCATAAGCCCTTACACAGCTACGTGAGTTTGAGTAGAGTGCCTTGATTAGTGCAATGTACTTTCTTGGCACTCCCTTCATAGTCAAACATTGCCATAGAACCTCTCGATCCACGGAGTCGAAGGCCGCCTTCAAGTCAAGAAATATGGCAATTGTTGGACGCCTAAAAGTGTGTCTATGTTCTAGGATCTGTCGGAGAGTGAAGATATGATCTATGCACCCTCTACCTGGCCTAAAGCCCGCTTGATTTTCCCTCGTTTGTTCCTCCCGAGTTCGGCTTAGTCTGTTCATGATTACTGAGCCTAGGATTTTAGAGACTATGTTCGTTAAGCTGATCCCCCTATGATTATCACATGACGACTTGTCTCCCTTCTTGAAAATCGGTATAATAAGTGACTTACCCCAGTCTGATGGAACCGTCTCTGATTCCCAGACGTTACCTAGTACCTTAGTTAAACTATATACCAGTATGTCACCCCCATATTTAAACACCTCCGGAATAATTCCGTCGGGTCGTGCCGCTTTGCCTCGTTTCAAATTACAGATTGCTTTGGTGACCTCACTTACAGACGGCGGGCCAGTGTCTATGTCCCATTCGGGTGTGTGCTGGATGGCGGGGAGGCTCAGTGTGGCTGTAGGCAAGTTAAACTGTTCCTCGAAGTGTTCTTTCCAGCGTTCGAGCTCCACTGTGTTCAAACACACGCCGCCGAACCTCAGAATTACTCACGCGATGAAGCCACCGAACGCAAGCAATCCTGCGGAGACAGCGATGATCTAACACGCAGAGTCGCCGCACACTCTCAGATCGGAGAGGCCAGGTTTCACAGGCGTACAGCAAGACAGCCGGCACCGAAGCATTATATACCCAACCTTTGACAGTCAGGCTAACATCGCAACGGCGCCAGAGGTGGCTCAAGTTGATGTATGCCAACCTAGCCTTCATGATACGGTTGGAAATCTCATCCGTCACCCCTCCGCCAGTACTCACACAACTACCCAGATACACAAACTTATTAACAACAGAAAAGGCTTACCTTTATCAGATATTGAGTAATCTGTTGCATTTGATTCACATTTCCAAAATCGTAGACAACCATCAGAACAAGCTGAAACAATTAAATACGGTGGTGGAGCATTGAATGTCGATAGTGCTGCCCAACTGACATGAGCTGCTGATACTTGAGCACAGATTATTGAGACACCCGACGGGAGATTCAGCTTACAGTCACATACCTATAAGTATTTGATTTTAAAAATAAAAAACGTGATATTAGACTGATCGGAAAATGTCACAGGTGGTTGGTTGATACACAAAGCAACACTAATCCATGAATTCTATGACTCTTTGTATGTACCTTATCTGATTTCTTGGAGCACGTGGAAAAGAAACAGTATGAGTGTTTGAGGCCTGTTTGAAGTGATTATTGGAGTTATACCCGTAATAAGATTTTATCGCCGGCTACCACCCACTGTTGAGAAGGCCTTCAACAGCGTTGACCGCGAAGTAATTTGGAAACTACTCGAGGACTACGGCGTACTCCAAATATTCATCAACCTTATTCAGCAACTGTACGACAACGGCACATGTCAAGTGATCCACAACGGAAAACTCAGCGAAGCGTTTCGAGTAAACACAGGAGTCAGACAAGGGTGCTTATTATCACCAATGATATTCCTAATTGTGGTGGACTGGATTATGCGTCAGACAGCGGGAAACGAGAAGACACGGATATCCTGGACCGACGTGAAGTATCTAGAAGACCTGGATTTCGCGCGTGGATGATTTATGTTCAATGTCACACAAACTCGAAAACTTGCATGCATGTGAAAACCAAAAAGACTGGCTGAGGAGGCAGGCAGTGAAGACAGGACATCAGGTAGACATAGAGAAGACGGAGGTGATGTAAATAAACAAACAACAGCAACAATCACCACCAAGGGGAAAGACCGGCTAGTAAGTACGATTTCAAGCAAAGGCCAGGGGACAGCACGGATAAAGATGTCAAAGCCAACCAGCCATCCAGAATCGGAGAGGCAAGACACGCTTTCATCAACGTGACACCAGTTTGGAAATCTTCGGCTTCACTCACTCAGACAGCATAAACAACAAGACTCGGATTCTATTCAACACAAATGTTAACTCAGTCCGTCAGTCAATACGGGTTAGAAACTTGGTGAGCGCGTCATAAAAATGATTCCCGACAAGTTACAAACTTTTATCAACAGCTAACAACTTCGTTGGCTCCATAGTGAAGATCAGATGGCCAGCCAGCCAGAAAGAATTAGCAACAAGAAACTCAGACAACAAACGAACCAAGAGCCGGTCGGTCAACAAACATGTAGGAGAAAATGGAGATGGATTGGTCGGGCATACGTTGGGGGAGGCCATCGAATGACATCGCGCCATCACCAGACCATCGGTCGAGTGAAATCGCATTGGGAAGCAACGAGTGGATTGTCGGTGTGAGTGTGACATGAAGGAGATCGTCAGGCGAGGAGGAGATGATAGATTATGGTCAATCGTGGAGCTAGCCAGCTGAAGAGGAGAGCAGAGAATAGAAGAAAGTGGGAATGTGTTGTTGAAGCCCTACGTTCCAAACAAAACCCATGCTAAATGTGGTATGGTACAATTTCTAAATTTCGCTAGCAGGTTGAGAATAAATTCTAATGAAATTTCTTCTACTTTCACTCCTTCAAAGAGATACAAAGAAAAATTTGCGAATAGCAAAGAGGATGTTCGGTATCAGATAAGAAAACTTTAGCCAACTGCCTGCAAGAAATAAAAATGACCACCGACCAACAACAATGTCAGTTAGTTGAGTCAAGTGGCACACTACCAACAACCATATTTACAGCCTTCAGTGTTCAACGTAATATGACATAACCTTTGTAGGAAGTCCAAGGGAATAATACAGAAGAATTGGTAGGATACATGAATTAATAAATCGTAAGAGGAGAAGTTGGGTCATGTCGGCAGAAAGTCCCAAATTCTTCATGTAATATTAAGTCAGAAGAGGATATATGACGACCAACAGCGATTCGAAAGGAAACTGGTGTCGAGGGGAAGAGATATTCGATTTACTCCCTATCACACAGTGTCGTGAATATCAATATCGACGCAAGTCTTGTGTCGCATCTGAAACTAAAATCAACACAATATGACGTTTAGATGACAAATAAGACAAGAATATATATACATAAACTTGGAAGCATCGTTTCAACTACAGGCGAACGGAACTGACGAGGATATCAAAGCAAGAATCCGAAAAGCAAGACAAGCCTTCACTACTCTCAAGTCTGTGTGGAGGTCAAAAGCACTCAGCTTCAAAAATAAGATCCAGATTTTCAACTCCAATGTGAATTCAGTCAGTGCTACTATATGGATCAGAGACTTGCACTGCGCGTCATAAAGAGCATCTCAAACAAACTACAAACCTTCATTAACAGCTGTCTTTGCTCAATACTCAAGATCAGATGGCCGGCCAGAATAGATCAGCAACAAGAATCTTTGGGAGCGAATCAACCAGAAACCTATTGTGAAACAAATATGCAGGAAGAAATGGAGATGGATTGGCCGAACTCTGAGGAAACCATTAAGTGACATCACTAGACAAGCCATCGCTCGAGTGGAACCCGAAAGGGGAGCGGCGAGTTGGTCGTCAGTGCAAGGGTGACTTGGAGGAGGGCAGAGATGGAGCCAGGTGAAGACTCTAGCAGAGAACCGAACGCAATGGAGACGCACGGCTGAAGCCCTATGTTCCTCTAGGAATTAAAGGAAACAATAATAATAATAATAAACTGTACGTACCTTTGTAGCCTCAGTGATTAAATTATTATATGTCGTTAAATTATCAATATCAGCAACTTTCAGCAGACTCCCAATTGTTGCTGCCGTTGGTGTTGTTAGACTACACGATCGCGTATTCGTTGAAACACGTACACGCCACATTTCCATACGACAAAATTCAATCTACAAGAACAAAGGAGGAGAAGGGGGGGTCAACGGATGAGTGTCTGTGTAGCAGTTACATCGATTGAAATGGCTAGAACACGTGTTATTCTCATAGATGCCGAATCACCGCCTTCTTCGACAAGCAATGTTATCTGACATAGGATTAGGTTGAGGAAGCTAATTCAAAACATGGAATCAATCTATGACAGCCTGGTCCCATTACGGAGATAGTTGATGATGTGGCCCAAAATTATTGTCACTGGTGCAGATACATTCATTCTTCCTAATCTCTTATATCCGCTAAACAGTCACATATATACTCCATGTTACAATTCCTTTTTCCCTCAACTTTCTGCTTATTACAGTTGTTCTTTTAGATCGTTTTTTTCTACTCGTTCGTGTGCTACATGAAGTATGGCAGTTAGAACTGCTGATAGTGGGATCTGAATCCAAGATCTAGTTAACTGCTTCATTTGTATGTATACACACACACTCACACACAGCCTGTATCGTCTATATAAGTTGAAAACATTTCGGAATCAGTCGAACGTTTCTTTTGTAATTTTAATTGTGACGTACAAGGTGATGGATGATTGCAGGTGAGATGAAAATCTCTCTGGATCACTGAAGGATAGTCTCAATATCATTTAGGAATCTGGTCATCTCCTCGTCTACTTTCAGTATGATTAGAAATGACGACAGGAGTAGTAGACCTAGACACTGGGCAGTTGCTGTATGAGGATAAATGAATGAATGTAGCGTCCAATCATATGACAGCTGGGTATTATTCCAAGTGAATAATGACCTGATTAGTAGCCGGATCTCATAGTTCACTTGGTAGAATGCACTCACCCGGGTTCGCACGCAGGACTAGTGGAGTCCATCCGGTTAGATATGTGGACAAACACTCGCACAGATAACACTGGCTGGTCCCAGTCGCACTAAAATCACAAATTGGTAGAAGTTAAAATTCATGGAATGGCCACTGAGTCAGGTCGCAGTGGTTGTAACCGGAAGGCCCTGGGTTCGAATACTCTGGTGGTGAATGGGTACTAATGATGAGTCGCAATGTGGAGTGAAACAGCTGTCAAGTATTCCCTAGTTGGTTTTCAATAGTTCCCTCTAACTAATATCAATATCCATGGGCAAACTTGATAAACAAATCAAATCCTTACAAAACTAAATGAGATAGGAATACTTAAGGCTCTTAAAAGTTATGTACAACACTGCACATTAACCTCACTAGTTTACTAGTCGATCATAAGACCAGAAAATGAGAAACAGAGAACGTTGAGGATGGAGCTAGAGTGACTCTTCCCGGTACAATCAGTTCAATCACACTACAGAAACTTAAAAACACAGAAAACTCTGAAGTAAATGACTTTCAATTACTGTGCTCCTAAAAATGTGTCATTCGGGAATTCTACACACGCGTATGCCTAGTCATCGCCTTCCTCGACAATGGGCAATGTTACCTGATATAGGGTCAGGCTGGAAAAGAGCTAGCGGTGGTCAAACCAAAACATGGCACCAGTCAATGAAATCCACAACAGTTAGTTTAAGCCAACCAGCCACGTAGGAAAGTGTAGACTTCCTTACTGGTTGGGGTCCTCGAGATGGTAAAAACCAATGAAGGCTGGAGACAATTGGTCACATGGCTCAAAGTCGTTCTCAATGGCTTGTGCAGATCCATCTACTCCTTTTGACTCATGATTTCCAATGAAACTATATCGTTCGTCGTTATTACTATTCCTTCGTCTCACACCTCTCTTTAATGTCTCTAATATGCATTTCTCCTACTTTCTTCTTTTGCTTTGTGTGGTACATGGAGGGAGTGTGGCGACTTGAACTGCTGCACATATGTGCAAAGTTCTATGTCGAAAACAGACAGCCAGACAGTACACACACGTAATAAGTGATTCCACTTTCCTCCAATAAACTCCTACGCCTCACTTAGTCAGGAGCTAGCGAACCCTGTAACCGAGAAGAGGTTAGTGTGAGGCTAGAAAGTCCCTCCATCCCCGTTAAAAAGAATATCACCGCTACTGAAAGATTAAAGTCCAAGCTCGAAGAAGCCCTATATTCCACTCAGAAATCGAAGGAATGGATGCGACTAAAATATACTCCTTATTACAGTTTGTTTCTACTCACTGGAATCATTTAGTGCAAACAGTTCTGATGAATAAAAAAATATTTATTCAACTGTTTAATTCGCTTCATGATGACTCTTATTATTACTACAATTACAGTAAATTTGGTGCGCCGGTAGCACAGCGGTTAGGTTTTCTATAGTTTGGTTTGTAAGGGTAAGATTTTGTTTTTACGAGTTGATCACGGATTGATATCAGTTAGAGAACCATTGAAAACTAGCACTGGAGTACTGGACAGCTGTTTCATCCAACTAGTTTGGGAATCATCGGCAGTATGCACCTCTTGGGTTTCGAACCCAGGACATTCCAGTTACAAGGCAAGCTCGTATACCATTCAGCCACTGGGACCCGGTTCAACTTCTACCAGCTTTACAGAAAATAATTCTGATGCTCGCTAGTGCCTTGCTACAGGATGGAGTCTCCTGGAGTCAGTTCTAGTGAGAAGTTGTGACCAGTGAGGTCCATCCAGATTTCACGTGTGAGAATGGATGTCCCACCGACGACATTGGTTGGGGTCGCGCTCAATCACGAATTGTTAGAAGTTAGAATTCATGAGCCAGTGGCTGAATGGTATACGAGCTTGACTTGTAACCGGAAGGCCCTGGGTTCGAACCATGTCGGTGGGTGAGTACTGCCGATGATTCCTAAACTAAAATGAAACTGCTGTCTAGTACTCCCTGGTTCCTAATGGTTCTCTAACTGATATCAATCCGTGATCGACTCGTAAAAACAGCGGTTAGGACTCTCCCTGACCATTCATATGGTCCAGGGTTCGATCCCCTGCAGACGCACACCTGATATCAATGGTCAACCTGGCAAATTCGGGCTACCGATATCACATGCTGAAAATTCCATACTTGTACTGAAAATGCGGTGTGGCATCAAGCTGTAATCAAAAATAAATAAATAAATAAAAAGATCGAGTGGTGTATGAACCTGTTTAAGTTACTGGGAACTGTGTGAAGGCAGCTCCTGGCTCTGATCCACTGTCACGCAGACCAGATTTCATGTCAAAGGCTTGGTTGGGATATGACCCCTTAAGACAAACGTCTACATAGGTTTAGACATCTGGGCAATATCCCAGCAGTCACATAAACTCTTGAAACCAATCAAGTACCATAGGAAAAAACAACGAAAGTAAACCTACCTCTTTAGATTCAGTAGTCCCAATTGTAGAATTTATCTTATTATCATTACCATTCATTGTATATCGTGTCATACGTACAATTAAAAAGGTGGATAGTGAAGAATTTGACTCTAGGCAGTCAGAATCTGCCTCACTACTCTCCATTGGATTATCAGTAGTATGTAAGACAACAGATAATGGATTTGTTCTTGGCTTACAATTGTCCATATTCATCATAATTAATTGACTTGGGAAAACATGTAACAGTAAGGTTTCTGCAGTATAAGATTGCTAAAAACAAAGAACACAAAGGATAAACACATTAACTAAGCATCTAGTATACATACACATTAGTCCTATGCATATTCAACTATTCAGTACCCTTGGGTTTCGACTGGAACAATAGGGCATCAACAGCACATCACCAGTTTAGTCTTTTCTCTGAAGGCCTCCTTTATTTAGCTCCACGACTGACCATATTCTCTCAACTCCCCTTCACACAAACTCTTCCATGTCATCCTCGGACGCACGCCCAACTCGGCATTGCCTATTAGGGTTCCACTTGAATGATAGAGTGAAATAAGTGCAATGTCTCCTCAGCATGTGCTCTATCCATCTCCATTTTTTTCTACATATTTGTTGAGAGATAGATTCTTGGTTGGTTTATTCCCATAGTTTCTATTTGATGATTTTTCTCTCGCCGGCCGTCCATTTGATCTCCAATATGGAGCTAACGAAGAAGCCAGTTGTTGATAAAGGTCTGCAGCACCCTGTTCGAAATGCTTTTGGCGGCGCAAACGTCGTTTCTGACTCATATAGAAGAAGAGCTCAACGACTTAACATTGGTGTGGAAAATCACAATTTTCTTCTTTATGCTGAAGCGGAGTGCAAAAGAATTCCAAACTGATTCCAGAGTAATGAAGGTCTGTCTTTCCTTTCCGATTCTGACTGGCTTTGACATCTTCATCCTTTCTGCCTGTAGTTGAAACGATGTTCTTCTAAACTTCTCCCATTGCTAGTGATTGATGCTTGTTGTTGGTTGGTTATCTTTACCACCTCTTTCTTCTCTATGTTCACCTGGAGTCCTGTCTTTACTTCCTGTCTCTACTGTTACATCTGTTAGTTTTCGCCTGTAAGTCTTCGAATTTATGTGACATTAGACATAAATTATCCGCGAAGTGCAGATATTTTAGAGTTTCCTTATAGAACAGTCCAACGCATTCCTGTCTTCTCGCTCCCCACATACAGTGTTCCGCATTATCCAGTCCACCAAAATTAGGAATATCATCGGTGATAATAGGCACTCATGCACAGTGAGAACAAATAGTTAATAACACAAAACAAGACGTGAATTCAATACAGTACACATTCGTTCAACATACACTCGTGTTCAGATAATAGAATTTGTGAGGATTTCGGATGAATTGCAATTGTTAGATCTTTCGGCACAAACCAATGCATAAAATCAGCTGGTATTGTACTGGACAGCTGTTTAATATTAGTTTGAGACTCCAGCAGTATGCACCCACCAGAGTTCAAAATCAGTTTCTTCCGATTATACGGCGAGCTCGTAGACCATTCATTCAACAGCCAATGGGACACGATTCAAATAGCTATCCCGTCAATTCCCATTTCTACTAATTCGTGATTTCAGCGCAACTGGTACCAGCCAATGTTATCAGCGAGCTAACTTTGGTAACCGGAAGGTCATGGATTCTAACTCTGGTGGGTCTGAAACAGATGCGTGTAATACACCTTGCTGGTTTTCCAATGGCTCTCTAACTGATGTCAGCTTATGATCAAACTAGACATATCGTGATCGATTGGAGCTTGCTTCGGATCGAATAATATTGTAATCGAATGTTATACTGTCGATTATTAGTTATTAGTCTATTACTTGAAGTTTCTATGCTAACGGCAGATATTTTGCGACAAAACATACGTGGATATAATGTCTGAACTAACTTCTTTTGGATGCACAAATTAGGCTTGTTAATATGGATCCCAAAAGAAAGCCTCAGCAATGTTTAGTAGTAGAACTCTTAAGGCGAAGTTAAGATTTGTTGGTATGCGGTAAATGACTCTGAAAGCCGCCTCGTTGACATCAATCTTCTGTTCTGTATCCACAAGATGAGATAGAATAGTGCTACAAATAGATTTTGTTTGTCCTTTACTTAACCACTAGGCAGGGTGATGTTCGGAAATCCGACGAGAAACACGCCAAATTATACGGCTTATGTAACTGGCTCACTCCACAGGAGCAGTTAAATTGATAGATACACAGGAAAGAGGCGAAATCATGCAGTTTATCTTTTACACAGCGTAATTCAGCAGCAGGGAATGCTCTTTTTACCATGGTAGATGAAATAAAAAAACAAAATAAACACAAATTACTTACATCATCTTTCATTTGACTTGATGAATAGGGTAATTCATAATCCAATTGGATAATACATCCCAGTGTATCTGAATTCCTCGAACTATACAACAGTCGACGATGTTCATCAGAATTCCCATTCATTGGTCCAATATTACTATTATTATTATTATTATTAATTTGTTTAAATTTTGAAAAGGTTAAAAATAAGCCAAGTTGATCATCGCCGCCAGTATTGGTGCTACTGATATTTCTTCCCATAGTAGTCGAAGTAGTATTGATATCCAATGATGCAACGAATAAGGCGACAGGATACGATGTCGCTGATGTTGTCACCATACACGGAAACCATGCAATATGCCTGAATGCTAAACATGGATTATTCGAGATATTTGAGAAATTTAATCTTGCTATTTCAGATATCCCCCCATGGGATGAAATATTACCACATCCACTAATGTCAGTGTTGGTGAGTGGAGTCGACTTGATCAGGTCTGAAGTCAACTCATCTGTATTCGTACCAGTGTGTAGCGAACGATTTGGCCGGGAGTGTTGTAGGCAGTGTGATTGACAATTTGTAGACAGTAGGGAAGATGTATACCCGGTAGTTAAAGGACCAACCGATGAGATATGCCATAAAATGATTTCACTGAAATTAATACTTTTACAAGCAGCATTTCTTGTTCTTGTAGACGCATAATGGGATGTGCTTAGTGCAAGCGGTAGCAGAGGATGTGGGACAATAGTACCAGTGTGGAAACGATGTCCACTTAATCGGGAACAACCTGATATACTGACAATCCATTGATAGCTGGAGATAAGATAAGAGAAATTGTAAAAAAAAAACATTGAATTGAATATTAAGTGATCGTTAAATACAAAAAAATATTTGAGTAGTATGAATAGTTTGTTGAGCAAAATATATTGTTCATTATTATTTTATTACTAAATATCGATGAGATGCTTCGATAATGTGATGCATGTGGAGCGAACCAATCCAGCTGGAACCGATTGTGAAACAAATAGGCAGGAAGAAATGGAGATGGATTGGCTGGTCATACTCTGAGGAAACCATCAAGTCAGTGACATCACTAAACAAGCCATTACTCGAGTGGAATCCGAAAAGGAAGCGGCGATTTGGTCGTCACTGTGAGGGTGACTTGGAGGAGGTCATGTGAAGAGGAGATGAAAGCGTGTGGACAGAATTGGAGCCAGGTGGAGACTCTAGAAGAGAACCGAACGCAATGGAGACGCACGGCTGAAGCCCTATGTTCCATTAGGAATTAAAGGAAACAATAATACTAATAATAATGTGGAGGTTTGGTTCATGACTAACTGACTGACTTCAACATAGAACTTTGCATTGATGTGCAGCAGTTGTTCGAGTCACCACACTTCACTAAGCACGCAAAGCAAGAGAAGAAAGTAAAAAGAAATGCAAAATAGCGACAGTAAACAGAGATATGAAGCAAAAAGAATAGTAATATCGAAGAACAATATAGTTCTATTGGGTATTATAAGTCACAAGGAGTGGATGCATCTGAGCCAGACATTGACAACGACGATTCTGAGCCATATCACCAACTGTCTCCAGCCTTCATTGGTGCTCACTTTTCCGAGAACCCCAATCGGGAAGTCCAAATCTTCCTACGTGACTGGCTTAAGCTAACTGTTGCGGCCTTCGCCGACTAACGAAGCCATGTTTTGGTTTGACCACTACTGGCTCTTTTCCAACCTCACCGATCCTATGTCGGCTAACATTGCGTGTCAGTCGAGGAAGGCGATGACTACTTATGCGTACCACATATCCTAATCACAGCCTCGTCTATTGATTTCATTAGTTTAATCAATTAAATTACAGTCATTGACTCCCAGATTCGAGTCCAGCTCCACATATTTCATCTTGAGCAATTCGACTAGGTGATATCACCAGAACCAATCGCTCAACAAATATGTAGGAGAAAGTGGAGATGAATTGGATACCCACTGAGGAGGCCGCTGGGTGACATCGCGCGTCAGGCCAGTGCTCGAGTGGAACCCGAAAGGGAAGCGGCAAGTAGGACGTCCAAGGGTGACATGGAGGAGATTGTGTGAAGAGGAGCTGAAACAGTATGGACTAACATGGATGCAAGTGAAAAGTACAGCAGAAGACAGAAACAAGCGGAGGCGTGCAGTTGAAGCCCTATGTTCCACTAGGAGCCCAAGGGAACAATAATAATAATATCACCAGCCGTAAAAATCAAACAACAAACAGTCATGCCTATAGAAGAACGACCATGGGGTGTGAACGCATCAATGACCTTGAATGCATACCATTCATTGGATGATTACAGAACCTGTCGTCGTGTCGGATGATATCGCGCAGAATGCAGGCCATTTCCCCTTCTGGCTCTACAATTATATATACATGCTTATATATACATAGAATATTCTAGAATAGTCGTCAATAGCATCATAAGTGTTTTTTAAATAATATCGATTTTTAAAGTAAGATCACGATGGAATTACAGTTCAAGAAAGATGCAAAGATTATAATAAGCATAAATATATAATAGCAAATAGAATATCAAATAAAATTAGGGAAATCTCTACACCAACAAATTGAGCTCATTAAAACCTAGATGGCCAAGGTAAGGACAGTGTGTGAACCAGCTTCTTTTAGATACATAAGTTAGATTTCTTAATGTGGATTTCAACAGTCAGCCTCAGCAGTATGTAGTAGACGAACTCTTAAGGTGTGCAGAAGATGACTTCGTTAACATCAGTCTTGTGTTCTGTATCCACATGATGAGATAGAATAGCGCTATATGAATGGATTTTATTTGTCTTTTCCTTAACCACTAGGCAGGGTGATGTTCGGAAATCCGACGAGAAACACATCTAATTGTACGGCCTATGTAGCCAAAAGAGGAAAATATCGAAAAGGATATTCTTTGCTCACTTATATAGTTTTTTTTTTATAGATGTCTGAATGAATATTTTCGCTGTGATAATAATAATAGCACTTACACTATCACACGACCCAAAGATATATTTATAACTAGGGAGTGAAGTGGTAGAACATGTTGACCACTTCACCTATTCGGGAAGTTGTATCAGCACCAACAGATTGATTGGTGACGAAATCTCAGCACGGATCCAAAAAGCTCGGGCTGCTTTCGCTAACTTACACCGTCTCTGGCGTAGGCGTGATATCCGACGATCAACCAAGGGACGTGTGTGCTGCTCAGCAGTTCGCTCCATCCCTATCTATGGCTCTGAAACATGGCCAATACGAGTTGGAGACATGAAAAAGTTGACTGTTTTTGATCATAGATGTCTACGATCTCTTTCTCACGTTAGGTGGTATAATAAGGTAAGTAATGTTGACGTTAGGTGTAGAGTGTTGGGGAAAGAGGGAAAATCAATCGAAGAGGCTATAAAGTTACACAGAATGAGATGGCTAGGTCACGTGCTGCACATGCCTAACCATCGCCTCCCCCGACGGACAGGCATTACTAGCTGATATATGTGCAGGTTGGAAAAGAGTAAGTGGTGGCCAAACAAAAATATGGCCTCATCAATCCATGAAATCCTTGACAGTCAAACTGAGTCAGGTAGGGAGATGCAGACTTCCGGGTTGGGGCCCTCGGGAATCTAAGAATCAATGGCTGGAGACAATAGGTGACAAGGCTCGAAATCGTTGTCAATGGCTTACGCAGATGTATTCAGTCTCTGTAATCTTTATTGATATTCCTTCCTACCATTACTCATTCATTCTGTTCCACTATTATACTTGTCAAAACTCTATTGATTCTCTTCACTCATTTTCTTGTCTACCTTTGTGTGCTATTTGGAACGTGGCAACTCGAAGTGCTGCACTTCAGTGCCAAGTTCTATAACTAACGAAAAAAAGAAAAGAGAAAAGACTTTAAACTTACTGACTATGCTCTGAAACATCGATACGCCAATATCGTAATGATCCATTCGTGTGCATTGTAATCATAGCTACATGTGAAGAATGCTGAACACGTGATTCAAACATTGTTGAATTCAATTGAATCTATTCATAGTGTTATACAAAAATAGAAAAGAAATAAAAGAAAGCATAAATTGAGTGAATCATATGGTGAAAAAGGGAGTGCATCGGTGGCATATCAGTAGAGTGCTGCTCGCCGACCACGCAGGTGGTTCGAGGTTCAATCCACGGCCACAGACGCACTCCTTCACGTCACCTTGCTAAGCCAGTAATGAAACTAGTAAAGATGGGAGGTTGGGGACATGAGGCTAGCAACCCCATCCTATAAAAATAATCACCACTATTACAGAAACTTCAAGCGTCTAGTTCTACTGGGAACGTAAAGAAATTAAAAAATATACCATAAAGAGGCTGTGCATTCAACAGTATCTCTACAAATCCATATAGTTTGAAGATGAAAATAGGTTTGGCTTTTACACTTTTTATTGAACAGATTGTTGAAAGAATTTCAAAAAAAACACACAAAGAGTTCTGATGTAGACATGAAATCCGGCTTACGACCGATCAAAGGACGTGGGTGCTGCGTGGCACTTCGCTTCATCGTCCACTTTTATGTCTGTGAGACATGCCAATTGAATGTGGGGCAAGTTAAACTTTAAGCACCACTAACTACCAATCAGCGAACGACGTCGAATTATCCAATGAGATTCATGAACGTGAGTTCAATGTTGTATAGCGCTTGATTTGTTTCAAATGCGTGTCCTAACCAAGGTACGGTTGCGATTCGAGGAGGATAGTGTTTTCCAGTATTGCCTGGATTTGGGGTTGCTTCGGAAGGAGAGAATTTGTTCGTGCAGTGGTGTGATGACTTTAAAAAGCTTTAGCAGGTCGACTGATGGGGATATGTCCATCGTTGTGTAGTTTGTTTGATGCGAGTTAGCATTAGAGCAGGTACTTTTTTTTGCAAGATCACACCTCTCCTAAACGCAACTACTGGGTCGTAATAGAGTCGGTGAGAGCCGTAGCTGCTGAAACCGGGAATAGCCTCCTCTCAACAATTCAGTGGTATCAGCATTGCGGAGACATTGCATCGTGGGAAATGGAGAAAATTACTTCTTTGTTGGGTGGAGAAGATATCGTTGTGCACTTCGACAAAACTGCGTTGGTGAAGAAGAAATACAACCGTGGTCATCAGCGAGCCAACAATATTTGAGTAATTGGTTTATACGACATCTCCCTCCGAAAAGGATTCGTGGAAAGGAAAGCAGACAGAAAAGCAACTACTTTAATACCTATTATTATTATACAAGACTTGTAAAACGGGAATCTATAATACATACGGATGAATGGAAAGGTTACAACTCTCTGTCATCTCTGGGATATATTCATCATAGAGTGAACCATTCAAGTGATTTTGTCGATCCCATTACCAGGACACATACAAATTCTATAGAAGGATTTTGGGGCAGGTTGAAAAAAAAGATTAGGGTTATAAATGGATCTCAAAAGGATCTCATTTATAGTCACTTGGATGAATATATATGTACAGAATGTGGTTTAACCTTTCTATCGACAGTCCTATGCTTAACTAGGAGATGTTTCTCTCACATGATAGAGAAAGATACCCTCTGTAACAGTTGTATGCTTTCTTTTGTGTTTTTCCCCATTAATATACGTTTCCCTTTATCATAAATGCCTCTTTCATGTGACTGGTCAGTTCAAGGTCGTTTACTGATTGTTTCTAAGTGGTGCTGAAAGTTTAACTTTGCCGAATGTGGAAGACATGAGAAGGCCGGCCAACTGTCTTTCATCATAGGTGTCTTCGTTCTGTCTCCCGGTATGCTAGATGGTAAAACAGGATGAGCAATATTGAGGTTAGGCGTCGAGTATTAGGTAAACAGGGTAAGTCACTTGATGTCTAGACATCATCTTCCTCAACAGGAAGTATTAGCTGACATAGGATCGATCATATGTGAAAAGAGATAGTGATGGTCAAACCAAAACATGACTTCATCAGTTAATGAAATCTTTGGCAGTTGGCTTGAACTAGTCACGCAAGGAGGTGTAGACTGCCAGGCTAGTTGCGGTCCCAGCGATGCTAAGAATTAATAGCTAGAGACTAATAATGATATAGCTCCAAATAAATTGCAATAGCATTCATTCTTTAGAGAATAATTACAAGCCATCGGGTTAAAATAACCAACTGTTTTAGTCCTAGTTTGGGACTCTTCAACAGTGCCCATCGCCACAGCCTACCCTCACTACCGATAGAGTTCAGAACCTTCCTGATTTCCAATGGTTTACTTAGAGATATCAATTCGTAACGCAAAATACGCGTCGAAAGTGAAACCATCGGGCGTGTTGCGCGTCATTTACGTATAATTAACTTCCAAATCGGAAGGCATATCAGAATTTACAGAGACCCCTACCACACACACACACACATCATTCACTAGTGTCAATAAATATATTTTCAAGTATTAGTTTTGTAGGGATTTTGTTCGATTGCATGGAGGATTTCATCATGAGCTAACATCAGTTAGATACCCATTGGAAAACCTGGGAGTATTGGAAAGCCGTTCCATCAGCCTAGTTTGGGACTCTTCATCAGTACGCACACACTAGCGACTAACTCTATTCAGGTAGTTAACCTGGGGTTCTAGAGTACAGCAGGTTGAAGATGAGGCAGTAACTCACCGAAGAAGACATTGCTGAGTGGTCGCCTTATGTAGTGAACTGGCAGAAGTTAGAATTCAAGGATCACTGGATCGGGTCCCAGTGGCTCGCCTTGTAACCAGAAGGTCCTGGGTTCGAACATCCTGTTGCTGGGTGCGTACTGATGAAGAGTTCCAGACCAGGCTGACGAAACAGCTGTCCAGTACTCCCGGGTTTACCAGTGGTTCTCTACCTGATGTCAACTCATGATGAAATCCTCCATGCAATCAATAAATATACACAATAAATAATGATATAATGAATTTTTCAACAAACTCACTTCAGCCAATGATGACAATATCGGTTTCAATTGTTTTTGTTTAAATTGATCTAATATTTTAGTCGCAGTAGTATTATTAGTAGTAGATTTCAATAAGAATTTTGAAAATTGTGCAAAAACTTGATTCACAGCATACTTTAAAAGAAACAGATGACAAAAGATATCCAAATTATCTTGATAATTAATTGTCATCAAAGGGTTTCTACTCTCCTTCTTCTTATTCACATGAATACTACTGAAATTGTTTTTGTTAGTAGTAGTAGTAGCAGTAGTGTGTAGGCTTTGATTCATTTTACTCCGTAAATGATCCGTTGTTAAATAGGTGAATAGTCTGTGTGAAATAGAACAGGCTGCATCCAATGGTATTGCCTGATGTAAACGTGATCGTACACTACAGGTGACTTGTGTCAATCGACCGCTCATATTTGGGATCAGGGTGAAGGCTGATTCACAGTTGAATTTTGTATCATCACGACCAGTTGTTTCCCGAGGGATAGACACCTTTTGAGTACGAATGCCTTTTGAATTGGGAACAGACATGTCCAAACCGTGTATGTACCTGAATGAAATGATGAGGGGAATAATAAAACAGCATATATATATATATATATATATATGTATTAAAAGAAATCTTAGTGTATAAGTATAAAACTTGGGCACTGTGGTACAACATAACTCCATTATAGATAAGATTTTCTTATTTTGATAAATCACAGAGTATATCTACAGAAACAATTTTAACATACTTGCATAATAATAAACACTTTATCCGAAACAATAATAATCATACACAATGAAGACTTTTGACATTACGTAATCAGATGAAAGAGAGGATGAAAATATCCAATTACCAGATGGGTAAGGAAAGACTGATTAAAGCTTGTTTCTGAACGCATAAACCGATAGATTGCTTTGGCAGACTTAGGCAGGATTGCACTCTTCTGCCTATTGATAATTTTGAACGATCTTGCGGTGTACACGTCATGACCCGCATCAAGGAGATGTTTGACGATAGCACTGTTTGAAGCATTTGTTACCTTGAGATAACGTCGGCTTTTTGGCACGTGTTCAGCGAATCGAAAGTGTGCTCTTTTCCCTTCTGTTCTTCCAATGTAACTGCTCTCTCAGATACAAGTAAATTTGTATATACGGTTATAGTTAACACGAGAGGGGGGTCTGTCGACTTTTGATTGCACCAAGGAGCAAGTTGGTCGATAGACGGGAACCAACTTAACCAGCTACAGGATAAGCTTTGGCTAGTGACGTCCTAAATATTCTGTTGAAAATCGCTGTAATATTTTCACCTTTAAAATCAAGTTGAAGGAAGATGGGCTTGTTTCCCACTGTGATTTGTTTGACATTTTAGCCCTGTTAACTGTGTGTTTTCATCCTCTCTTTCATCTGATTATGTAATGTCGGAAGATTCCATTGTGTATGATAATTATTGTTCGAGATAAAGTTATTTTTATTATTATTATATATATTATTGTATGCATATATTGATTGATTTTTGTTAAAAAATGAACTCTAGGCAAGTATTATTGATATAAGTATGAAACTTGGGCACTGTGGTAGAGTATAACTCCATTATGGATAAGATTTTATTTTGATAAAATCACACAGTGTTATACAGTAATATTAACTGATGACCACGTTTCGAGCACAAATTATTGCCACTCATAATCATATCAAGTCACTCACACAACTTTTTCCTTCATTTATATACATGTGTGGAATTGACTAGATATTTGAATAAAAATCAATATGGGATAATGTACATTCAGAAATAACAATATGAGTATTATTAATCAATTACAATTAGATGGGAAATAAGACGAGTGTTTCTATAGTTATAATATCAGTAACTTGTTAGAATGTTATGATGTGCTTGAATTGAAATAGAATTTTAAGATTATTTATAATCCTCTTCTAATTTGACTGACTGGTGGTAATAATATCTTCCATATCTCTGGTATTTGCATTGAGTCATTTCTGTTGCATGTGTTGGGTCAGACTAGTAGGTCGGGGGTAGTCAGATTATCAGAACATAAGAATTTAGCTAAGGGAAGAAGAATGGTTGACCCTGAAAAGATAAGTAATTTAGAAAAAAGCTCAGCAATTGCACTCCACGTATTAACAAACAACCACACAATAGGGTGGGTGTGAGAGGGTTAACATTCTAAGAAGTAATATAGGTAGGTGGAGAGCGTGAGAGATCGATTACCGAATCCTGGTTCATCGAGTAATCTACACCCAACACATGCAACAGAAGTGACTTAACGCAAATACCAGAGATATGTATGGAAGATATTATTACCATCAGTCAGTCAAATCAGAGGAGGATAATAAATAATCTCAAAATTCTATTTAAATTCAAGCACATCACAACATTCTAACAAGTTACTTATTAGGACTATGAAAACACTCATCTTATTTCCCATCTGATTGTAATTGATCACTAACACTCATATTATTATTTCTGAATGTACATTGTCTCAAACTGATTTTTATTCAAATACCTAGTCAATTCCACACATGTATATAAATGAAGGAAAAAAATTGTGTGAGTAACTTGATATGATTATGAACAATAATTTGTGCTCGAAACGTCATCAGTTAATATTACTGTACACTGCTCTATGTGATTTATCAAAATAAAATCTTATCCATAATGAATTCTTAGTGTAATTGGGTGTCTCGCCGGTCCAGTAATAGGACACTCGCCAAACACACCTCATCAGGTCCGGGAATCGGTCGCCGGCCACCAACGTACTCCTAATCATCATTAAGCTGTTAGTTAACCCAGTGATAAATAGGGAAGGTTGGATGGCATGAAGCTAGCAGCAACCCCACTCTGTAAAAATAAACACCACTGCTACAGAGACTTCAAAGGTCTAGCTTGAAGCTATATGTTCCCTTCGGCATGTAAAGGAATAAAATAATAATAATAATCATAAAAAAATAATACTGTAACGGAATTATTTAAGGGATTTACTACTTCTATGTACCAACAATGTTAGGTTTACATTTGAAAGCGATTGTTTCCGCTAAGTTGATGGTTTTGCTATGGGAAGTCCGTTAGGGCCCCTTTTAGCAAATGTTTATATGTCGTACATTGAGAATTTATCGGAGGATTTAATCGAAAATGTGCCACTTTATAGAAGTTATGTAGATGATATTGTAATCATCAGTGATAAGTCTTGTTCTGCCACCTCAATTTTAAATCGAATGAATGAAGTTCAGAATAGCATATCACTTACATCTGTCTGTAGAAGAGGAAGATAATTGTTTATCTTTCCAAAACATGTTCCTTAGTCGATGGCTTCATGGGTCAATAAAAAGATCTATTTATAGAAAACGTACCTGGACAGGTCAGTATCTTAATTATCATCACAGTTTCTGCCCTGTTTGGTATAAAAGAGCCTTAGTAAGGTGCCTCTTCAGTAGAATCCAACGAATATGCACTAAAGACACACTTGATGAAGAAGAAAGAAAGTTGACACAAACTCTGGTTGATAACAATTATCCAGATAAGTTCATCAGGAGATATAAAGTATTCAGAACACCAAGATACACTCGACAACTCGCCCCCAAGAAAGACGTGTACATCAAGCTACCTACTCTATATGGGACATAAAAGCGGCTTGATAACTAGACAAAGACTGAACGCTGCTGTCAAAAAGACTTTTCTATACAGCTAATATCATAATAATAGAGAATGTAAAGCCAATATATCTATCTAAGCCCTTCGAACATGCGAAAAATGATGTCACATCCCAATGTATTTACCAATTTGAATCTACGTGTGGACACACATACATAGGGAGGACTCATCGATCTCTGCAAGTAAGGGCTGGCTTCAGAGCATATTCCTAAATGGCTCCAAAAACAAATGGAATCTTCAGAACCCATTAATGGTGAGAACAGGAAACCTAGCTCTTCTATTGCGAAACATATTATAGAGACAGGACATAAAATTGACGTTAACACATCTTTTAAACCTATCTATAAAACGTGTTCGGGGCGTATCCTAAAGTTTGTGGTAATTAGAAAGTTTAAGCCACCTTTATGCGTTCAAAACAATTCGTCATCACATTAAACCTTCCTTGGTAAATTTTGTTTTGGTACCAGTTAGGCAGATGTACTATTACGTCTGTTATTTGATTTAGTGGTCTTCATTGTTATTTTGACCCTGAATATGGCCTTTTAACTTGACCTAACTTGTCTATTTTCTCACCTCTTACCTCTTTATTAATTTCATATATATTCCTATGACAAGTCCGTGTGTGATCAGATTGTTCGAAATGTGTTGCGCAAACACATACAATACACTATTCAGACAAATTATGTCTTCTTATTGCTTTATCTAAATTCATAAAGGGAACTAATTGTTTTAAACTGAATTATTGTTTGGAAAATCCCTAATCATACTATTTATATTTATTTGGATGTTCCAACTAACTCGGTAATTAGTTTCCTCTTCCTACATAGACTGCATACCATTATTCTGACATTTGTATATCATATAATCCGTATTATTTATCTCTGCCCTTATTTATTCTGTAATTTTAATGTTTCTCTTTATTGTTCTGTGATAACGATATTGATTATTTGTTGTTTTACAACTAAGATTATGACTGAGTGAATCAAGGTGATTCTAACCCTGGACTGTTTTCGGGAAGTGTTTGATGTGGCGTGATTCTTGTGAATAGAGTTTTTGATCCCAATCTGCTGGGGATATTCTACTTGATTTTGATCACGGTGCACATTGATTTGATGACATTAGATAGTTGGAGGCGGCAATCGCAAGGAAGCCCCGCCTGACCTCGGTTTCGCGCTAGTTGGCACTCGTCAGCAAAACGCATCTGCTACATTGAAGGAACTCATGTCCCTTCTGAGATTCGAACCTGTGTCACCCGGTGCTGCTACCTAAAATGGTGGCCACATTGGAAGCCTGACTGATAGAATTCGGTCTGCACCAAAGAAAGAACTAGACACATCACACCAGTTACTGATGTCCAATCAAAGTATCCACTACAGTCCTACAGAAGGCTAATCGCCAATCTGAATACCTCAGTGGTAACGTCTCTGACTGCAGCACTGAGTGACACGGTTCCGAATCTCAAAAGGGAAATGAGTGATACGCCTTGTTGACTGACTGGTGAGTGCCAACTAGCACGAAAACGAGGTCAGGCGGGGCTTCCTGCCGACTGCCTCCAACCACCTAATATCATTCTACTTGATTCTCAGGTAATTCTCACACTGTTGGATTTCGGTAAACTAATTTTTTTGTTTTAACTGAGTTGAACTGGATCTGTAAAGCTGCTTAACAGCACATCTTCAGGTAATTTTCGACTTTTGTTGTCATTGTTCTTAAATAGTATCTCAGATTTCATCAGAAACAACTAATTGTAGAACTTGAGCACAATGGTAGTGTGTAATTTCATATTCATTTGTTAATTAGATATCACACAGTTAGTGAAATCGTATTATTGTTTAGTGGATGACAGAGTTTCGAACATAATTTATTACTGTTCATAATCATATCTCCAATTAGAACCAAACAACTTCGAAACTTCCGTCTTATAGTTTTCTTTATTCTTTCCTATTCGTCGTCGTATGGGTAGTAGAATTCCCCAGATGTTCGAGTGAATAAGAGTTGAATCATTCCTATTACACGTATTTCCAGTTGATTCGATAAATAAAGCTCCCGATGACTCAATCTCTCCCTCCACCCTGCTGTTACATTAGATTTTAAAACTGTCATCTAATCCCATCCAGCCTACTTAATGGTTGTGTGTAATTGCATGTGGTGTAGTGTTATAGCTGAACTACTCTCCAGATTTCTTATCTTATTAGGGTCAACTAATCGAGACTTTGCTAGGCTTTTGTGCACCGCTAGTCTGATTGGCATAGCGGTTAGGACGCTCGCCGATCATGCACATGGTCCGGGGTTCGAACCCCGGCCGACGCACTCCTTTACCTCGCTAAGCCAGAAATAAAAGCTGGTGAAGAGGAAAGGTTGGGCATGAGGCTAGCAACCCCATCCTGTAAAATAAACACTGCTACAGAAACTTCAAGCTTCTAGCTTGAAGCCCTATGTTCCACTGGGGAACGTGAAGGATCAAAAGAAAAGTCTGATTGACTCCGTTCAGTTAGTTGGACCAATGTATTTGACCTGACAATTATCCCAGCAGGGTATTAGATAAACCAAATTTTTATTTTATTTAATGGGCTCCACAGGATCCTTTAACCAACAAAGTTTGCCTCTAAGTGAATTCGTGGGCTTGAAAATCACCTTTATTCCTGCATTGTTATGAATTCTATGTGAGGTTTCCCAGGTTCCTTCTTTCTATGGGAGTATTATTATTCCCTTGAGTTCCGAGTGAAACATAGGGCTTCAACAACACACCTCCATACCTTCGTTCTCGTCTCTGCTGTCCTCTTCAGCCGGCTACGCCCACGATCGACCATAATCTCTGATCTCCTCCATGTTACACTCGCACCGACGACCCACTCGTCGCTTCCCATTCCGATTCCACTCGAATAATGGCCTGCATTGACCGCAATGTCATTCTACGGTTTCCTTAATGTGTGCTTGATCCATTTCCATTTCCTCCCAAATATTTGTTGAGCGATCGGCTCTCGATTGCTTTTTTGTAAGTATTTCTTGTTGCTGATTCTCTCTGGCCATTGGATCTCCAGTATGGAGCCAGCCAGCGAAGTGGGCAGTTGTTGATAAAGGTCTGTAGCTGACTATTGGAAATCCTTTTCGTGGAAGCAGTACTGATGATTTAAATTCCTCACTGTCAGTGTTGCCATCATTCTGTCCATTTTTGTCATTATTATTACTACTACCAGTATTGTTACTAAAATTATTACTATTAATTTCATTTTTACATTTTCTAACATACTTCCTGATTAATTTACCAGGGTAATAATTAGTTTTTAATGATTCTCTCTTACATGCATCACTTCCTTGATGCTATCAAGTTTTCCCTGCATTATTATTTAAATATTTCACCAACCCTATTTCCTCTGAAATAGGGTGGGATCATCCGAAATCCAAATATTGGTTAGAATGTGTGTGTATGTTTTCTGTAAACACCACTGTGTTTAACTTCCCATCTTCCACCCATTTTATACTACAATCTAAAATTGGAAACTCCTCTTGATGAATTCCCAATTGTTAAATGAAATGAATTGCCTCTACTTATGAGTTGATGTGTTCGAAAAGTTTATTTGTGTGACTGTGTCATCCCCCCACCTATATACTTTAGAAGAAAATTCTTCTAACCCTGCATCGAATAGAAAGGAATAAAGAAAACCAATACAAAAAAAACCCACATTTAGTCCTATTTTAGGAATCACCAACTGGATACACTTATCCTCCCATTTTGAGCGATTTTTTTCTCACCCAGCTCAATCACAGTCAGATACATACCCACTGCCCAAGAGATAGTCCAGTGGATAACCCGCTTTGGCGATAGTCACTGAATTTCAGACTCAGTGAGAGCAACATCACTTGCTAGGAAAAACAAATTAATCTAGCTGACGAGTCCCACAGAGGACGAAACGCGCACGTGCTTAATTCCATCTTTTTTTATTGTAGAAAGTTGACTTACCAAACAATTAAACTTCCATCAATCGGATGTATAGCAAATACAACATCTGGTGCATGTTGCAGTTCACCTAACAGCTTAAAGACTGTTTGATCCATTAATGCTATTTGATCTGATAATTCAGGAGAGAGAATATTGTTATTCACTGATAGGGATGACAATGACGTTGAGGAAGAAGAAGAAGCCGTGTTATCACATGCTATAAAAAAGTTTTAAAAAAAGAAAAGCAATAGGAAGATATAACAACAAAAAAACGTGATAATGTATTATTATTATTGTTCCTTTGGGTTCCTAGTGGAACATAGGGCTTCAACTGCACGTCTCCATTTGCTTCTGTCTTCTGCTGTACTTTTCACCTGAATCCGTGTTAGTCCATACTGTTTCAAATCCTCTTCACACGATCTCCTCCATGTCACCCTTAGACGTCCTAATCGCCGCTTCCCTTTCGGGTTCCACTCAAGCGATGGCCTGAAGCGCGATGTCACCCAGAGGCCTCCTCAGCGAGTGTCCAATCCATCTCCACTTTCTCCTGCATATTTGTTGGGCGATTGGTTCTGGTTTTGTTTGTTATCATAGTTCCTTGTTGGTTTTTGTTCTTTCCGGCCATCTCATCTTCAGTATAGAACGAAGACAGTTGTTGATAAAGGTCTGCAACAGGCTGTTGGAAATATTCTTTGTGACCCGCCAAGTTTCTGATCCCTACGTATAGAAGAACTGACTGACTTGACGTTTGTATTGAAAATCCGAATTTTGTTGTTGAGTGTTGCGGAGTGACGAAGATTTCCAGATTGGTTTCAGGTTGATGAATGTGTTTCTCGCCTTCCCGATTCTCGATTTGACATCCTCGTCCGTCCGTTCCTCCTGTAGTTGAGACAATGCTCACTAGATAAGTGAGCGAATGAAGTAACCTCTTTCAAATCCCTCTCGTTGATGGTGATTGGCGTTGGATGTTGCTGCTGCTGTTGTTGTTGTTGGTTGGTTATTTTCATAACCTCCATCTTGTCTATGTTCACCTGGAGTCCTGTCTTTGCTGCAAACAATACTGTTGTTTTCAATTAGATCTTCCTCAGGCTTTACTCTAATTAACACAGATTTATATATAAGAAGAAATTTAACTAATGACGATGAGTTTGTGGATCAAATTATAACAATAAGTGTTAAGTGTTTTTGAACGTCAGTCGGTCGGTCGGTCGGTTTTCGACATAGAACTTTGCACATATGTGCGGCAGTTCAAGTCGCCACAATCTATGTAGCACGCAAAGCAAGAGAAGGAAGTAGAAGAGATGCATAATATAGACAGTAAACAGAGGTGTGAGACAAAGGAATAGTAATAACGAAGAACAAAAGTTTCATTGGAAATCATAAGTCACAAGGAGTGGATACATCTGCGCCACTGAGAATGATTTTGAGTCATATCACCAATTGTTTCCAACCATTGGTTTTTACCATCCCGAGAGCCCCAACCAGGAAGTCTACATCTTCCTACGTGGCTTAGATTAACTGTTGTGGATTTCATTGATTGGTGCCATGTTTTGGTTTGACCGCCGCTAGCTCTTTTCCAGCCTGACCCTATATCAGCTAACATTGCCCATTGTCGAGGAAGGCGATGACTAGGCATACGTAGCACATGTCCTAACCATCTCAGTCGAAGTAATTTCACAGTCTCGTCGATTGATTTCCCCGCCTTACCTAGCACTCGACCGATGCCTAACCTCAATATTGCTCATCTTATTGTACCACTTCACACGGGAGATAGAACTCAGACACCTATGATCGAAGACAGCTAATCTTTTCATGTCTTCCACTCTCAATGGCCAGGTCTCACAGCCATAAAGGAGGACGGAGCGGACTGTTGAGCAGTACACACGCCCTTTGGTCGATAGTCGGATATCGCGTCTACGCCAGAGACGGCGAAAACTGGCGAATGCGAACCTAGCCCTCTGTATTCGTGCTGAAATTTCGTCGGAGATCAACCCGTTGGGGCTGGTGGTACTTCCCAAGTAAATGAAGCGGTCAACGTGTTCTACCACTTCACTTCCTATTTCTAATCTAGGGGTCGATGAAGTCCAATCCTGCAGCATCATCTTACATTTTATAGGGGTGAATCGCATGCCAAACATGCGGAGATTGTTGTTCAGGGTGTTCAGTAGACTCTGCATTTTGTCAGAGTCCTCGCCTAGAAGGACTATATCGTCCGCATATTCTAAGTCAACGAGATTCTTCCCTGGTAGCAAGTCAATCCCTGAGTCGCTGAAGTGAGTTAGGGTTAAGTCCATTAGTACATCTATGATGAAATTGAATAGGAATGGGGATAATGGGCATCCTTGACGGACGCCACTAGTCGTCACCACTTCAGATGACAACTCGCCATAAGCCCTCACCTGGCTGCATGAGTACGAGTAGAGTGCCTTAATCAGTGCAATGTATTTTCTTGGCATTCCCTTTACAGCCAAGCATCGCCAGAGAACCTCTCGGTCGACAGAATCGAATGCCGCCTTTAGGTCAAGAAATATAATGATTGTCGGACGCCGGTAGGAATGCCTATGTTCTAGAATCTGTCGAAGGGTGAAGATGTGATCAATACACCCTCTACCTGGCCTAAAACCTGCCTGGTTTTCTCGTGTTTGTGTCTCCCGAGCACCACTTAATCTACGCAGTATTATTGAGCCTAGGATTTTAGATACTATATTAGTCAAGCTAATCCCTCTGTGATTATCACAAGACGACTTGTCCCCCTTCTTGTATACGTCAGTAATAACGATAATAAGGTTTATACAGGTGGCGATAAGAATAACGAAGATATATGCATATCAAACGCAGTCTGCTTGTCTCAAGAACTCAGAACCACTCCATCACTTATTTTTAATTACATTTATATCAGTAGCACCTCTTGATGCTATAGCGGCAGGATTTTCCTTAGATGGTACATACACCTCCACTCCTCGACGCTCGTAGCTTTGCGAATTAGAGACACCCGATTAGCTACAAAACGAGCATATCTAGCTGAATCGTTGCGTATGTAATATATATAACTGTCATGGAGTCTGTCCAAAACGTTACTTGACAGGTGGGACAATTCAATTCCGTACTCACTATCGTAAACAGTTGGACCGCTAACAAAGCTACCGTTAGCTCCAACCTCGGGATTGAAACAACCTTTATGGGTGTAACTCTGGACTTCCCGATCAGAAGGCGAACATCCTTATTATCTCCAAAGGCAGTTCTAACGTACACGACAGCTCCGTAACCAACTTCAGAGGCATCAGAGAATACGTAAAAATCAACAATCTTATAATCCCCCGATTGCCTTAGAGGACGTGCGACGGGATACTGTCTTAATGATCGTAGGTTGTTGACCCAGTTCTCCCAATTTTCAGCAGTTCTTTCACTCAATGGATCATCCCCCTGTAACTCCCTTTTACATGTCTCCTGAAATAGTTTTCGTGCAAGAAGCAAATAAGGTGCTACTAGACCAAGTGGATCGAAAACTGAGGACAATACGGATAATATGCCTCTTCTGGTGACCGGCTTATCAAAATAACGAAAATATATATATTTACGTGCATTTAACAATTCAACTGTGGTCCTGCAGTGACAGTTATGTTGGGCGTACTACTGGACAGCTTAGCCAACCAAGATTTTACTGAACATCTCCTATCGTGGTTTGGCAAAGGACAGACAAAACAATCTATAGCTCAATTTTGGCACATTTAGTTGATAGTGGTCATGTAGTGGAAAAAACGAGAGCTTTCAAAGTAATTCATCGTATTTCACCGGATCTTCCCAATAGACTTTATATTCCCCTACTGCAAACTGCCGAGGCGATGGGAATTCGAACTATTAAACCTAAACTATGCATTCAAAAGAAGTTTGTACAGCCATTATCCCTCCCTTGTTGGTTTATTAAGACATAACCAACTGAGGACTTCTACACCACCCTTTGTGTATATTTCCAACCCCTCTCTCATCATCCCTTAATCTTATCAAATCTTCATTAAGAACGTGTTTCATTTACTTCCCTTACAATCTAGCATTACGCAAGTCAAAAATGTTACGCATTAAGCGTCACACTGGGGAAGAGGCCTGTTTCGTCTAGGCCCTATTAAACAGTCCTCATCAGGGGATGATACCATATGATACCGTTCTCCAGAGCGATTCAAACCTCTCTCTCTCACCCAGTTCCTAAATCAAAAACTCAACCATAACCAACCAACAAGCTATTTACACCATGACTGCCGGACAAAGAACAGCCGCCAAATGATAATCCGATTTGCCAGTAATCTGCAGTCTATATTTCCGACATGACTCGTTATGATTCCTCGACTGACAGACAGACGCAGTGTACCTAGGCTAACCACCTCTTCTTGGACCTTCAACAATAACATATTTGAAGACATTGAAATTCACAAGAGAGGAAGGAAGAATAAGACAATAAAATTCCACTCTTAGATGTCTGTCTTAATTAAGAGAACCAACACAGGAAATATCAGGAAGCACAAGTATACAGAAAATCAATACAAACAACACAGATCGAATACTCGACTACAATAAAAAATAACCCAATAACTAACAACAGAAACTGTGCAGACATTGTTTAAGAGAGTTCAAACACACTGCAGCACTCAATTACTGAAGAGAATAGAAGAGAAATACCCACCAACTGTCTTCTTCAGGCGAAGACAAATCGTAATACCAACAAGAAACCATCCTCCGAAACCATAAGAAAAAATTCATTCTACCAAAGGATTCAACAGTAGAGTGGGCGCCCCCTTCGAACAAGGATCCAAGAACACAAATTCTTTCATACCGATGTATGTAGTCCATTTAATGATTGGAAGAATGTAGAAATTTTAAAAACAGTGGGGCCACCAAAAATGGTAAAGAATTTTCAGAAGCGCAATTGGTACTAAGACGAAAAAGAGATTGGTTGCAGGATTTCATCATGAGCTAATATCAGTTAGAAAATCATTGGAAAACCAGCTAGGAGTATTCAGCAGCTGTTTCGTCAGCCCTGTTTGGGACCCTTCATCAGTGCGCACCCAACACAGGGGTTCGAGTCCCGAACCTTCTGGTTACAAGGCGAGCTAGCTCGTTGACCATTCATCAGCAACTGGGACCCGATCCAATGACCAGCTCATGAATTCTAACTTCTGCCAATTTATGCACGACATAGCGCAACCATTTCGCAATGGCTTCTTCGATGAATAACTGTCTTCATCTTCGACCTGCTGTACCCTACTGGACACGACTTCCCACTAGAACCCCAGGTTAACTGCCTACTTGAATAGGACCAGCCGCTAGTGAGCATCAGATCAATTTTCAAGTATTGCTGAGGAGTCCCGAACTAGACCGACGAAACAGCTGTTCAGTACTCCTTGGAGTGGTTTTCCAATGGCTCTCTAACTGATATCACCTCATGATGAAATCCTCCAATCAATCAAACAAAATTCCCTACAAAGCAATACTTTAGAATCAGAGATTAACAGATACACTGTTATTATAGATCAAATCCATCAACTAATAAAAAATAAGCCACACATGACAGATGAGTCCAAATTCCGAGTTAACAAAAATGAATACAAAATACAGAAGTATATTAACAACCGATCACGGCAATGACTGTCAGGAGATCCAATTATATCATTCATTTCGAGAAAGAATTCCAAGAATTTGACTTGATATTAAAGCTTCCACTGAAAGCTTCACAATTAAATTAAAAACAACCAGCTTGCAGAACACAACCAAATCAAAATCATCCACGTGAGCTACAGATCCTCTTTATTCCTTTGAAAGACAAAGTACCTAAGCTGGTCACCTTTTCTAGCATCTATCAATTCAACTGCTAGTTACATTAACCGTTTCTCTACGAACTTGGTTTTTCATACACGAAAACACCTATCAATCAATATGGACAAATAAAAGAATCACTTCGTTCAAACAGGCCACTCTTATCATTCCTCAAGTATCGAATAAATAATTACCAGAAGCCTCTAGATACCAAACACTCTAAACAGTAGAGGCCATTTCAATTCGCCTAACTCAACCAGAGCTCTATTGGTAAGCTGGCCCAAATGTCGAGTCTGTAAATTCGTAAATTCTATGTGTTAATACCCTTAATTTGTCTGACGCAGCATATTATCACTTAAAGATGCTTTTGAACTGTAATCGATTATAATATCATTAATCGATTATTATGACCGAGAGGTTCTCTGGCGATGCTTGGCTGTAAAGGGAATGCCGAGAAAATACATTGCACTGATCAAGGCACTCTAGTCGTACTCATGCAGCCAAATGAGGGCTTACGGCGAGTTGTCATCTGAAATGGTGATGACTAGTGGCGTCCGTCAAGGATGCCCAATCACTATCCCCATTTCTATTCAACTTCATCACAGATGTACTAATGGACTTAACCCTTACGCACTTCAGCGACTCAGGGATTGACTTGTTATCAAGGAATAATCTCGTTGACTTAGAATATAGAGACGATATAGTCCTTCTAGGTGAGGACGCTGACAAAATGCATCAGAGTGTTCTGAACACCTACAGCAGCAATCTACGTATGTTTGGCATGCGATTCGCTCCCACCAAATGCAAGATAATTTTACAGGACTGGACTACACCAACTCCTAGATTAGAAATAGGAAGTGAAGTGTTAGAGCACGTTGACCGCTTCACTTACTTGGGAAGTACCATCAGCCAACACCAACGGGTTGATCTCTGACGAAATCTCAGTACGGATACAGAGGGCTAGTTCCACATACGCCAGTTTGCACCGTCTCTGACGTAGACGTGATATCCGGCTGTCTGTGGACCAAAGGGGGTGTATACTGCTCAACATTTTGCTCCGTCCTACTTTATGACTGTGAGATCTGGCCATTGAGAGTGGAAGACATAAAAAGATTAGCTGTCTTCGATCATAGGTGCCTGCGTTCTATCTCCCGCGTGAAGTGGTATAATAAGGTGAGCAATATTGCGGTTAGGCGTCAAGTGCTAGGCTATGTTAGGAGGGGAAATCAATCGACCAGGCTGTGAAATTACATCGACTGAGATGGTTAGGACATGTGTTACACACGCATGCCTAGTCATCGCCTTCCTCGACAATGGGCAATGTTAGCTGATATAGGGCCAGGCTGGAAAAGAGCTAGCGGCGGTCAAACCAAAACATGGCACCAGTCAATGAAATCTACAACAGTTAGTCTAAGCCACGTAGGAAGATGTAGACATCCTGACTGGTTGGGGTCCTCGGGACGGTTAAAAACCAATGGTTGGAAACAATTGGTGATATGGTTCAAAATCGTTCTCAATGACTGGCGCAGATTCATCCACTTCTTGTGACTCATGATTTCCAATGAAACTTTTGTTCTTCGTTATTACTATTCCTTTGTCTCACACCTCAACTGACTGTCTCTATTATGCATTTCTCCTACTTTCTTCTCTTTCTTTGTGTGCTACATGGAGGGAGTGTGGCGACTTGAACTGCCGCACATTAGTGGAAAGTTCTATGTCGAAAACAGACAGACAGACAGACAGAATATTATTAATTCGTTCTTTTAAACATTAACGTGAATTATGAATATGAATTTGATGAAGGCAAAGTTTTCAAAAAGGAATACTTCTCTGGTCATTAATGAACCTTAGTCATTTGAAATAAAATAAACTTACAAATATGCACAGGTATTGCTAGAATCCGAGATATTGCATCCATCATAAATAATTCTAATTGCGTATTGAAACGATATTCTTTATTATTGAACCAATGAGTAGTAAATCGACCAATTTGTGATCTGAAAAGGAATAGGCGAGGGTGGGGTGGGGGGACAAATAAATAGTAGATACAAATTGAACATTAAAAGAGAAATTAACTTTGATTGGACGCTATTATCATTATTATTATTGTTGTTTAAACGCAGAAAAACTTGGTACAATATGGAACCAAGAAAGATGCACCACACAATAATAGTAATAAAACAACATAGATTAAAAGTAAAAAATATGTGTGGAGAACGGATAAAGAACTTGACCAGGAAGGAAAACAGCCATACTTAACAACTTCAAACAGTATTTGTAAATAATCATCGGAAGGGAAGAAAGAAGGATATTGCAGCACGTTCACCATTCACTGAATGCGATTCTTGGCCATATCCGATAACGTTTCGAGCCATCGATTCGAGCAATCTGTCGGACACCAACCAGGGAGTCGTGACGCACCAACCGATGCTAATCTAGCACAAATATCCCTCATCCCACGACGCCACGTCATGGACTGACCACCCCTCCGCCTTTTCCATCCCGTCCCAGGGCTAGCGAACAGAGACCTGTACGGAAGCCTCTCGGATGACATTCGCAGCCGGTGTTTCCAGATGACGACACTCAACAAATGGTAATCTCCACAGTGTTCAAACACACGCCGCCGAACCTCAGAATTACTCACGCGATGAAGCCGTCGAACGCCAGCAATCCTGTGGAGACAGCGATGATCGAACACGCAGATCCGCCTCACATCCTCAGCTCGTAGAGGCCAGGTTTCACAGGCGTAGAGCAAGACAGCCCTCACCGAAGCATTGTATACCCGACCTTTGACAGCCACGCTAACGTCGCGACGGCGACAGAGGTGGCTCAAGTTGATGTATGCTACTCTAGCCTTTATGATACGGTTGGAAATCTCATCCATCACCCCTCCGCCAGCACTCACACAACTACCCAGATACACAAACTCTTCGACAACTTCAAGCGCTTCACCTGCAAGAGTGAGTGCAGGTAGTAACTAGTACCGTGCGTCTAGTAGTTTGTTTCGCGTAGTCAAGTTTGTAATGTGGCTCATCATCACGCTGCACTTTGAATTGTTGATAACAGATGGTTGGAGGAAATCGCCAGGAAAAAGCCTTGCGTGACTTAGATTTCGTGCTAGTTGGCACCCAACAATCAGCTAGGCGTATCTGCAAGCCTGAAGGAACCTATGCCCACTCTGAGATTCGAACCAGTGTCACTAAGTGCTGAGGTAAGAGACGTTACTATCCAATATAATGAAGATTTGTAGCTTAGGTGGGTGATTTTGATGTGGTTGTGTTCTCTGAGCTGGATAGTTTATTTACGAAACTTTCATCGTCCTACTAGGAAACATCTTCAGCGTATACTTCACTTTGTTGAAGTGAGATTTAAGACTTCTCCACGAGTTTATTAGTCATCCCTCCTGGTGCCCTTGAACATGACTGGTTGTTTCCTTGACCTGAAGTTTGACTCTTTGTGTGTGAGATTGCCTTCTTATCTCGGTCGGTAAATTTTGTCTACGTCAATGTGCGTATTATTTGACGATTCACTGGAATATCAGGCAACCTTCTAAAAATTCTCTAATACTTTTGGTGTTTCCTCTGTCTAATATTTGGACGTTGTCCCAGTCGAATTGATGTCCGTGGTTGTCTGTATGCAGTGAGGCGATATGAGGGAGTGGATTTCATGTCTTTTGACAGGTAGATCATGTCCATGGATACGATGACGAAGAGGACGTCCAATTTGGCAAATCTACGGTTTTTCGCAGTCATTGCGACTTATTTTGTAGATAATGTTGGTTTTATTTTTTTTCACTGCTGAGTCTTTTGGTTGACACAGAGCCAGCCGAGTGAAGTGATTTTGTTGGTTTGCGTGCAACATCAATTCCTAAAGGTTTGAAGAGTCTTGCAGTGATTTCTGAGATGTCCTTTATATATGGTAGGGCAATTTTCATTGTGCTTTCCTTCCAGCCCTTTGATTTGGTTGGTTGGCTTGGGGGTAGATGTCTTTTTGATGAAACTCCGTGGATTTCCATTCTTTTGGAAGACGTCCATAAGATTTCTTTCTTCAATTTTCCTTAAGGTAGAAGGGCTGTAATGAGTCCTAGCTCTCTTGGACAGTATTTGTATACAGCTCCTTTTGTGTGTTATCAGGTTGTCTCAGTTGTAATTGAGTATTTGGTCTGTGTGAGTTGATTTTCTATTTTTTTATTCCTTCACGTTCCGAATGGAACATACGGCTTCAAGCTAGAGGCCTGAAGTTTCGGTAGCAGTGTTTATAATTTTTACAGGATGGGGTTGCTAGCCTCATGCCCAACCTTTCCTCTACACCAGTCTTATAACTGGCTTAGTGAGGTAAAGGAGTGCGCTGGCTGGGGATTTAACCCCGGACCATATAGATGGTAGGCGAGCGTCCTAACCGCTATGCCACCGATTTTCTATTATTATATTATTGTTGTTCCCTTGGGTTCCTAGTGGAACATAGGGCTTCAACTACACGTCTCCACTTGCTTCTGTCTTCTGCTGTACTTTTCACCTGCATCCATGTTAGTCCATACTGTTTCAGCTCCTCTTCACACGATCTCCTCCATGACACCCTTGCACCAACGAACCACTCGCCGCTTCCCTTTCGAGTTCACCAAGCGGCCTCCTCAGCGAGTGTCCAATCCATCTCCACTTCCTCCTGCATATTTGTTGGGCGATTAGTTCATGTTTTGTTTCTTTCCATAGTTTCTTGTTGGTGATTCTTTCCGACGGCCATCTGATCTTCAGTAGTATAGAACGGAGACAGCTGCAACAGGCTGTTGGAAATATTCTTTGTAACCCGCCAAGTTTCTGATCCACACGTATAGAAGAACTGACTGACTTGACGTTTGTATTGAAAATCCGAATTTTGTTGTTGATGCTGAGTTGAGTGACGAAGATTTCCAGATTGGTTTCAGGTTGATGAATGTGTTTCTCGCCTTCCCGATTCTCGATTTGACATCTTCGTCCGTTTCTCCTGCAGTTGAGACAATGCTCCCTAGATAAGTGAATGAAGTAACCTCTTTCAAATCCCTTCCGTTGATGGTGATTGGCGCTGGATGTTGCTGCTGATGTTGTTGTTGTTGGTTGGTTATTTTCATAACCTCCGTCTTGTCTATGTTCACCTGGAGTCCTATCTTTGCTGCCAGCCTCTTCGACCAGTTTGTCGGTTTTCGCTTGTAAGTCTTCGATTTTGTGTGGCATCAAACATAAATCATCCGCGAAATCTAGGTCTTCTAGGTTCTTGACATCGGTCCAGGATATCCCTGTCTTCTCGTTTTCCACTGTCTGACGCATAGTACTCTATACTCATCAAAAACGTCACTATCTAATAACATCTACTAACATTGCACCATGATGGTGAGCCACCTAGCAAACTTAACTTCAGTCTGCACCAGACGAACAAAAGACTAGACACATTACACTAGTCACTTGCTAACTAGTGTCCAATCAAAGTATTCACTACAGTCCTACAGGAGGTCAATCGCGAGCCCGAATACCTCAGTGGTAACGTCTCTGACTGCAGCACTGAGTGACACAAGTTCGAATCTCAGAGGCGATATGAGTTTCTTCAAGATTGCAGATACACCTTGCTGACTGATGAGTGCCAACAGGAACAAAATCTACGTCAGGTAGGGCTTCCTTCTGATTGCCTCCAACCATGCAATAGGGGTCACTTTACACAATAATATTCTCAACAAATGGTCTGTACCGATTCCTAGTATGGCTATATGTTTAAGAGGTCATATCTGTCCTATTATACAGGCTACACAGATCATAGAAAGATTGTTTATCGTCTGAAATCTTCGGCACAAGTGTGATAAACAGTCAACTGCCAAACGTATATGTATTTACACTGAGTACCAGTTTCTCCCCTTCTACTATTTTACCACGGAGGAAGACATGAAAAGATTAGCTGTCTTTGATCATAGGTGCCTGCGTTCTATCTCCCAAGTGTGTGAAGTAGTATAATAAGGTGAACAATATTGAGGTTAGGCATCAATCGAGTGCTAGGTAAGGAGGTTGTGAAATTACATCGACTGAGATGGTTAGGACTTGTCTTACGTATGCCTAGTCATCGCCTTCCTCGACCGACGAGCGATGTTAGCTGACTTAGGTTCAGGCTGGAAAAGAGCTAGCGGCGGTCAAACCAAAACATGGCAACAGTTAATTTAAGCCAGCCACGTAGGAAGATGTAGACTTCCTGGTTGGGGTCCTCGGGACGGTAAAAACCAATGAAGACTGGAGACAATCGGCTCTATGGCTCAAAATCGTTCTCAATGGCTCAAAATCGTTCTCAATGGCTTGAGCAGATGCATCCACTCCTTGTGACTTATGATTTCCAATGAAACTGTTTTGTTCTTCGTTATTACTATTCCTTTGTCTCACACCTCCTGTTTACTGTCTCTCTATTATGCATTTCTCCTACTTTCTTCTCTTGCTTTGTATGCTACATGGAGGGAGTGTGGCGACTTGAACTGCCTCACATATGTGCAAAGTTCTATGTCGAAAACAGACAGACAGACCATGGAGGAATAAACGCACCAATAAAAAAAGACAAGACAATAAAGGCAATAAAGACTTACCTATTTGAAGAAGTCGTCGTCGTCGTAGTAGTAGTAGTAGTAGTACTATGAAGTGAACTAATTTCAGGAAAATTATCCAGCGGTAAAGAGGTGGTAAATGTAAATTGCGGAAAAGATGGATTGGCAGGAAAATTCAACTTTCCACCAGCGTCATTATTATTAGCTGTTGTTCCTTGATAATCTACTTGAATTTTTGACAATGGATCAGTTAACCTGCATTGTTTGTGATCATAAAATTAAAAAAAAAAATAGACAAAACAAGAAAAATAAACATACTGATCTAATGCGAAGTTATTTACACTCATGATGACTGCTAGTGGAATCCACGACGAGCATTTCGATCTCTTTGGGACTCGCTGTCTGGATGTATCTGAAGAAAAAGTTGACTGTCGCCATCCTTTGGTGTTTGAAACGATGGCTAGATGCGTACTGCTGAAGAGTTCGAAACTAGGCTGACGAAACAGCTGTCCAGTACTCCCTGGCAGGTATTCCAATGGTCCATTAACCAATGTCAGCTCATTATGAAATCCCGTATACTTATTTGGATCAAATGTGCTTTTAATGAAGATGTGATAGGATTAAGAGATGATAAGAGAGGGGTTGAAAATATAGGTAAAGGGTGATGGGGAAGTAATTATGGCTAAATAGGCCAAGCGAGGGATAATGGCTGCATAGTACTGATGACCTCTTACAAAAGGAATTTGAATATAATCACGATACCCTGACGGAGATGGGCTATCCGAGTAGTTTCATAAAGATACATATGAAAACATCAGAGAGAAAACCTGAGACTATGATTGCACGTAAATAACGTCTGTTTATTAAGTTACAAATTTAATGGTGACTTGTCAAGTGAGATTTTATTCCCGAGACTTTCCAGGAGTATACGAAGAACGTTTTACGCAACAAACCTGTTTGTCATTCTCTAGCGACGAATGATTCGGTCACATTCAAACAAATGTTAAGCTAGGTAGTTTTGCCACATCTATGTGCATTTATCAATTCAACTGTGCTCCTGCGATGACAGTTATGTTGGGCGTACTACTAGACAGCTTAACCAACCAACGTGTTATTGAACATCTCCAATCGTGGTTTGGCAGGGACAGAAAAAAACAATCCGTAGCTCCATTTTGTCACATTTAGTTAGTTGATAGTGGTCATGTAGTGGAGAAAACGAGAGCCTTCAAAGTAATTCATCGTATCCCACCGAATCTTTCCAATAGACTTTATATTCGCCTACTGCACACAGCTGAGGCTGGCGACAAGCATTCGAACTATTAAACATAAACTATGTATTCAAAAGAAGTTCGTAGACACAGCCACTATCCCTCCCTTCTTGGCCTATTAAGACATGATAACTTCCCCCACCACCCCTTACTTATATTTTCAACCCCTCTCTTATCATCCCTTAATCTTATCACATCTCCATTAATGTTTGGTGCATGATCCTTGCTGACAGAGTTTTGAACCCACCTTGTTGTTGTTAATATTCTACTTGATTCCAAAATACTTCTTATGGTTCAATTTTGATTCAATACTTTTGTTCTACAGTACTTCTTTTGTAGAAGAGACTTATCTTATCTGTATAGAGCTGCATAAGGGTAATGTTGAGGCAATTTCGCGTTTTTGATGTTATTATTGGCGAGTATAGAACTGCACTTTTCATGTCGTTGGGGGCATTTTGTGACTGTGTTTAAACCAACTCACGGAAGTTCATGCCAACCAAACAGTAGAACGCATAAATCGTTTCCTGTACGTTCAGACCACTATACATAACTTGTGGGGTCGTTACACTTTTGAGTCCAGGTAACGAGTCTCAAAAAGGACTAAATGCTCATCCTGAAGTCCACTTTTAGTCACCAGAATCCTGAATAACTTTAAATTGATCCACAAACACTGATAAAAATTTCGTGCTAGCAGCCGATATGTGAACCGAGTTCAAGTATTTCCGTCTAACATAGTATATCTAAGAGAAATTCAAAAGTAACCTAAGGCAATAAATAAGGCATATTGATCTAATCCTTACATCTTCACTGCTAGAACGTACAGAAGGCAGGTTTAACATTTACCAACTTACGCCATCCCTGGCTTAGTAGACATGATATCCGGCTGCCTATCGACCAAAGGACGTGTCCACTGGTCAGCAGATCTCAGACAGCCATTGAAAGTGAAAAACATGACACAACTAGCTGTCTTTGATAATAGGTATCTAATTTCTATCTCCAGTGTGTGCTATGTGGTATAATAGGGTGAGTAATATTGGGTTAAGTGTAGAGAGTGTTAATTAACGAAGAGAAATCAATCGACGAATTTGTGAAGTTACACCGATTGAGATGGTTAGAACATTGTTCCACATGCCTGGCCATCGCCTTCCTTAACGGGAAATGTTAACTCGCATAGGACTGACAGATTGGAAAAGAGAAAGCTAGTGGTGGTCAAACCAAAACATGGCTTCATCAGTAAATGAAATCCAATCCTGTAACCAATCAACCAAATCCCTACAAACCAATACTTGAATATCAATGAGATGCTCACTGGCGACTGGCCCTATTCAGGTAGGTAGTTACCTGGGGTTCCAGTGGGAAGTCGTGACCAGTAGGGTGCAGCAGGCCGGGTGTGAGGACAAATACTCGCCACGGAAGACATTGGCTAGGGGTCGCGCTATGTCGTGAATTGGCAGAAGTTAGAATTCATGGGCCATTGGATCGCGTCCCAGTGGCTTAATGGAATACGAGCTCACTTTGTAACCATAAGGTCCTGGGTTCGAACCCCGGTGGGTGCGTACTGATGAAGAGTCCCAATCTAGGACGAAACAGCTGCCCAGTACTCCAGTGGTTCTCTAACCAATGTCAGCTCATGATGAAATCCTGTAACCAAATCCATAACAGTTAGTTTGAGTCACGTAGGGAGATGTAGACTTCCTAACCGGTTGGGGTCCCCGGGATGTTAAAGACCAATGAAGGCTGGAAACAGTTGGTGATATGTCTCAAAATCGTTCTCAATAGCTGATTCAGATGCATCCACTCTTTGTGATTTGTCACATCCAATCAAAACACTTTATTGCTCCTCCCATATCACTATTCTTTTTCCCTCACTCACACTTCTGTTTTTGATAACTCTTTCGCTGTTTTCAATCTCTCTTTACTCTCTCCTCTTGCTTTTTCTACTACATGGAGTGAGTGTGGCGATTCAAACTGCTGCAAATCTGTGCAAAGTTCTACGTTGAAACCGTTTAGTCAATCAGTCAGTCAATCTTCACATCCCGACCGATAGCTGCTACCTTGACGTGGTGGTCGGGCTTGCATATCGCAATGACCCAACAAGCTACACTGGCTGGAACTTATGTTCCTGTAGGTCCTACCATGCCAGGAAGGTTGTTTGGATAGCGGTTAGATAAAAAGCAGCTACCCAATCCAATACTATGATTCAAACAAATTCACAAAATATCATACCGGATCGGTCGGGGCCCGGATTAACAACAACCGCGCTTCCTGCTGCCGTGTCACAGGGCAGAAGTGATAAATATGCTACTGAGACACACCAAACAAAAACAGGCCACGTGTGACCGGCCTCAAGCAGTTGTCCTCTGGGCTCTGAGGTCACGCAACACTCTTCCTGTTTCAGGTTCCCGAAGAATCAATCAACTTCCGCGGTGCGGGCAGCCAGGAAGTAACAACCGCCCACACACTTCCATAAGCACACGAAGCCTCCTTGAGCATCACTCTCCCCTACTTACATCACCTTCCTCAGCTTGCTTCTCTACTACAGGTAGCACTATTCTGCAGGCTAGTGAGTCATCTTCACTTCACTCTGTGTCCACAAACAACGGTGAGTGCTGTAGAAACACCCCGGATAGCCTTTTAAAGCCACGTCGCCAACTTCATATAAGAGCTTTTAACGTCAGGACCCTCTGCCAAATCGGACAACAGGCATCACTAGCAAGAACCCTGGAATCTAGAGCCATGGATGTATGTTGTGTTTCGGAGACATGCATACAAGTCCCGAGGAGTGTGGTTATTCACTTGACCTCACCCAGTCAACAAGTTGAATCTGCGGAATTCACTTTAGGGGGGTGTCAGGAGACCCCTCAGCTAGCTCACGAGGACTCGCAGGTGTAGGGATAGCACTGAGTGTTAGGGCGGAAAAATCACTACTTGACTGGATCATGGTTGGAAACAATTGGTGACATGGGTGGCTCAAAATCGTTCTCAATGGCTTTCGCAGATGCATCCACTCCTCGTGGCTTATGATTTCCAATGAAACTATATTGTTCTTCGTTATTACTATTCCTTTGTCTCACACCTCTGTTTACTATCTATATTATGCATTTCTTCTACTTTCTTCTCTTGCTTTGTGTGCTCTATGGAGGGAGTGTGGCGACTTGAACTTCCGCACATATGTGCAAAGTTCTATGTCGAAAACAGACAGACAAACAGACATTCTTCACATATGATAAAATCACACTGCTGTATGTGATTAAACAATAATAAATAAATCAAAGATTAAAAAGATACATGCCTACAATAAAGTAGATTGCATTGTCACGTATCAAAACAATAAAAAACAATCTATTGCGTCAATGATAAACATATGACAAATCCATATATATACTAGCCTGACTATCCAAAGAAAATATGAATGATCAGATTGTAATATTCAATCACAGTTGACGACGACAACAACATACCAAGTCAAATCATACCACAACAACAACAAATCAAAATATACCATTTCAAAACTCTAATACAATCGAAGCTTTAGATCCGAATTCGTCAAACCATAGACATATTACAGATTATCAATACTCAAGAAAACCTCGCCTAGATTACTAGCTCACTAGTTTTCTAGCCGGTCCCAAGCCCGGATAAAGAGAGAGGGTTGGGGCATGGTGCTAGCAACTCCACCCCCAAAACTTAACCAAACTGCTACAGAAACTTCAACGCATATATATATATATATATTAAAATACTAAAAATATAAACAATAACCTTATTTTTCGCTGGAATCGGAGAAGTGAAATGACGCAGGCTGTTGAAAGCCTTCGGGAAGCAAGTCAGCTAATGTGCCTCCTTTCGATGAAAGCAAAAATAAGGATTGGTGCGTGGAATGTTCGTACGATGTACGAAACTGGAAAGGCTGCCCAGGTAACCGCATCAATGAGAAGGTATGGAATAGAAGAGTTGGGAATCTGCGAGAGCAGATGGGACGGATGTGGAAGGTGCCAACTACCAACTGGAGAGACAATAATCTACTCCGGTCACCCAGAGGACGATCACGAGCACACCGCGGGAGTAGCCGTCATGACGTCACCAACAGCAGCCAAAGCTCTCATGCAGTGAGAACCAATCTCCTCCAGGATAATGACAGCCAGGTTCAACTCAAAAGACCTGGATTTCACGGATTACTTATGTTTGATGTCACACAAAATCGAAGACTTACAAGCGAAAACCGATAAACTCGTGGAAGAGCCTGGCAGCAAAGACAGGACTCCAGGTGAACATAGACAAGACGGAGGTTATGAAAATAACCAACCAACCAACAACAACAACAGTAGCAACATTCAGTGCCAATCACCATCAACGGGAGGGATTTGAAAGAGGTTACTTCATTCACTTATCTAGGGAGCATTGTCTCAACTACAGGAGGAACGGACGGACGAGGATGTCAAATTGAGAATCGTGAAGGCGAGAAACACATTCATCAAGTTGAAACCAATCTGGAAATCTTCGTCACTCAGCCTGCATCAACAACAAAATGATTCGGATTTTCAATACAAACGTCAAGTGAGTCAGTTCTTCTATACGTACGGATCAGAAACTTGGAGGGTCACAAAGAATATTCCCAACAGCCTGTTGCAGACCTATATCAACAGCTGTCTTCGTTCTATACTCAAGATCAGATGGCCGGAAAGAACAAGAACCAACAAGAAACTATGGGAACAAACAAAACAAGAACCAATCGCCCAATAAATCTGCAGGAGAAAGTGGAGATGGGTTGGACACTTGCTGAAGAGGCCGTTGGATGACATTGCGTGTCAGGCCGTTGAGTGGAACCCGAAAGGGAAGCGACGAGTGGGACGTCCAAGGGTGACATGGAGGAGATCGTGTGAAGAGGAGCTGAAACAGTATGGACTAACATGGATGCAGGTGAAAAGTACAGCAGAAGACAGAAGCAAGTGGAGAGGTGCAGTTGAAGCCCTATGTCCCACTAGGAACCCAAGGGAACAATAATGATAATACTTACGAAGAGTTCCATACTAGAATGTGTAGTACTCCCTGTACTGGTTTGTTCAATGGTTCTCTAACTGATATCAATCCGTGCTTGGTCAAAACTTGAAACAAATCAAATTCCCACACAAACTAATTCTTGAAAATCAAACTGATACTCGCTGGTGACTGGCTACAGGACAAAGTTAGTTGTCTGAGTTTCTAGCTGGAAGGCATGACGAGTGGGGTCGCTACACGGTGAGGAGTGAGCACAAATACCCGGGCTGATGTCAGTCATGCTAAAATGACCAATCGGCAAAAGTTGGAATTCATGCACAGACCCTTAAATCCGGGGTCCCAATAGCTGAATGGTCTATCAGCTGGACTTAGAATGTGAAGTTCCTGAATTCTATCGCAGGAAGGGGCGATTCTGTCGCCTGAGAGGTACTCTGGCGATGTTTGACTGTGAAAGGAATGTCGGGAAAATACATTACACTGATCAAGGCACTCTACTCAAACTCATGCAGCCATGTGAGAGCTTACGGAGAGTTGTTATTTGAACTGGAGACAACTAGTGGTGTCCGTCAGGATTGCCCAATCACTATTCCCATTTCTACTTAATTTCATCATAGATTTACTAATGGACTTAATCCTAACTCACTTCAGAGACTCAGGGATTGACTTGTTACCAGGGAATAATCTCGTTAACTTAAAATATGCAGATGATATAGTCCTTCTAGGTGAGGACGCTGACAAAATGCAGAGTCTTCTGAACACCTTGAGCTGAAATCTTCGAATGTTTAGCATGCGATTCGCTCCCGCCGAATGTAATATGATGTTACAGGACTGAACTACATTGACTCCTAGCTTAGAAATAGGGAGTGAATTGGTAGAGCGTCCTGGGTGGTTGCATCAGCCCTAAAGGATTGGTGGCTGATAAAATCTCAACACGGACACAGAAGGCTTGTTTGGCATTTACCAACTTACGCCATGCCTGGCTTAGTAGACGGGATATCCAGCTGCCTATCGACCAAAGGACGTGTCCACTGGCTCAGCAGCAGTTCGCTTTATCCTCCTTTATGTGTGTGAGACATGGCCTCTGACAACGGAAGATGTAAGAAGCCTAGCTGTCTTTGATGATAAGTGCCTGTGCTTTATCTCCCATGTGAAGTAGTATAATAGGGTGAGTAATATTGAGGTTAGGCATTGGTCGAGTGCTAGGTAAAGAGGGGAAATCAATAGACGAGGCTGTGAAGTTACATCGACTGAGATGGTTAGAACATGTGTTACGCATGCCTAGTTATTGCCTTCCTTGACTGAAAGGCAATGTTAGCTGACATAAGGTCAGGTTGGTGGTCAAACCAAAACATGGCATCAGTCAATGAAATCCACAGCAGTCAGTTTAGGCCAGTCTCGTAAGGAAGGTGTACACTTCCTGGTTGGGATCCTCAGGACGGTAAACATCAATGAAGGCTAGAAACAATTGGTGATATGGTTCTTTTCGCCTCATATCTTTGTTTACTGTCACTATTTTGCATTTCATTTTACTTTCTTCTCTTGCTTTGTGTGCTAAGTGGATTGTGGCAACCCGAACTGCTGCACATCGGTGCAAAGTTCTACGTTGGAACCAGTCAGTCAGTCCGTAGGGTTATGGGTGTGCGCTGCCAGAATCTGCTAGGAAGAAACAACAGTCTAGTACAGCCCGATTGTTCTCAATAGTTCTCTAACTGATATGTGAACCCGTGATCCAACTTGGAAAAAACCAAATTAAATCCGCAATCTGCAAATTGTGAATTTTATTAGTGGTATGACCAGTTAGACCAAGTTAGCTAACAGCAAGTCAGGTGAAGTTTGAAGTGAGATTCGACTTCGTGTGTCCAGTCCAACCCGCGGTATACCGCTGTTGATGACCTCGATCACAAACAAGCAAAACGGCCACCCTGTGGTGTTTACACCGTTTCGATCTGACTGGTTAGCAAGCACTACTACTGACTGTGATATGAGTGGTGTAGCATGCAACTACTACTCACCGCAATTAATCAGTAGTATGCAGCTAGTTTGAAAATTAATAATCAATAATCAAATAAAACTTACCATAGATCTAGAAAATGCTTTAAAAGAGGATGTTTCAAGAAGCAGTCAGGTAATTCTACAGTGATATAATTTTCACATGAGGACAATGAAGATGGTAATCCATGAGATCCATTCATCTCTTTACTTGATTCACTGGTTGTTTTGTACTTCACTTCTGTATCTATAACACCACCTTGAGGTATTCGTAATTTGACTTTGGAAGAAATCTAAAAAATGAGATGAAAACAAGCAATTGAAATGTCAGTGTATTTGAACTGGATTAATAATGAACTATTCACAAACAATGATATATTATTGTTTTCATTATCCCCTAGGTTCCAAGTGGAATATAAGAGCTTCAACAACAGATCTCCACTTTCACTCCGTTCTCTGCAGGTCTTTTTAGGTAGCACCACAATTGCCTATAAGCGTTGATCTCATCCTTACATGAACTTCTCGGAAAAACATCGAACTCATTGCACACTTCCTATTTGACTGCTACTCGAGGGCCTGGTTTCAACATAGAACTTTGCACTGATTTGCAGCAGTTTGTGTTGCCACATTCCCTCCTTGTAGCACACAAAGCAAGAGAAGAGAGTAAAGAGAGACTCAAAAGGGAGAGCGAGAGAGATAATAAACAGAAGTGTGAGTGATGGAAAAAGAATAGTAATATGAAAGAACAATAGAATTTTATTGAATGTGACAAATCAGAAAGAGTGAATGCATCTACACCAGCCATTGACAACGATTTTGAGCCGTATCACCAATTGTCTTCAGTCCTCATTGGTTTATCATCCCGAGGACCCCAACCAGTCAGGAAGTCTACACTCCCCTACGTGGCTGGCTTTGACTAACTGTTGTGGATTTCATTGACTGATGAAACCATGTTTTGGTTTGACCACCACTACCTCTCTCTCTTTTCCAATCTGATCAGTCCTATGCGAGTTAACATTTCCCGTTGAGGAAGGCGATGACTAGACATGCGTAACACATTTCCTAACCATCTCAATCGATGTAACTTCACAACCTGGTCGATTGATTTCCCCTCCCATCTAACTAGTTCTTGACCTATGCATAACCTCATTATTGCTTACCGTATTATACCACCACCTAAAACACACGAGAGATAGATCACAGACACCTATCTTCAAATACAGCTAGTCTTTTCGTGTCTTTCATTGTCAGCGGCTATGTCTCACACACATAAAGGAGCATGGAGCGAACTGCTGCTGAGCAGTGGGCACGTCCTTTTGTCGATAGACAGCCGGATATCATGTCTACTAAGCCAGAGATGGCGTAAGTTGTCAAATACCAAACGAACCTTCTGAATCCGTGCTGAGATTTCATCAGCCGTCAACCCACTGGGGTTGATCCAACTTCCCATATAAGTCAAGTGGTGAACACGCTATATCATTTCACTGCCCATCTTGAAGCTGATTGGGTCTGGTTGGTGTCTGGATGTCACTCAACAGTCCCCTCAGTGTGTGCCCAATCCATATTTGTTAGGCGACTGGTTCTTGGTTAGTTCGCTGCCTGCCAGAGCTGCTTGTTTCTACTACTACTATTGTATCGACCATGTGATCTTCAGTATGAAGCCAGTGAAGGCAGATGTTGATAAAAGTCTGCAATTGCCTTTTGGAAGTGCTTTCAACGATTTATCTGGTCTCCGAAACAGTGCAAAGATATACAACGTGACGAGAAGCTACAATGCATTGATGAACGAGGAGGCGAAGAACAATACAAGGGAAAACACACTGAGAATTGAAACACAACAAGTCGCAGATAAAAGGGACCTAATAACACTGCATAATGACCAATAAGTTGAAAGCACTAGAGGCCTAACCCTCCTGCTTCTAACATCCAAAGTGAAAGTCCTCACGTCTCCGCAAAAGCGTTAGAATTTTCCTTTCTTAGCTTGCACTAAAATCACACCACCGATTGCATTGTGCTTTCATTCAAATAGCATTCCATCCATTCTTTAAGAGATCAACTGATTAAATAAATTTCACAAATGAAACTAATACCCTTTAACGATCGATATGATAACAGTTGAAAACCACCCACGTCAAACAGTAGTGTTTTTGATAGCTAGGTAGAAGTGATTTATCTGTATGCAGTTGACAAGTTGTTTCTCTCATTTGAGATACAAAAGGCTCATGTGACATTTGCCAATTTACGTCATCTCTGGCTTAGTAGACGTGATATCCAGCAGGAGTTCACTCCAGCCTTCTTTATGACTATGAAACATGCCCAGTGGAATTTGATAATATGAAAAGGCTAGCTGTGATTGATTAAAGGTGTCTGCGTTCTATCTCCCCATGTTAGATGGCATAATGGGGTAAGTAATGTTGAGAGAAAATCAATCTACGAGGTTGTAAAGTTACATAGATGGAGATGGTTAGGACATGTATTACACATTCCTAGCCATCTCCTTCCAAGACGGTCAATGTTATTTGACATAGGATCACGTTGGAAAAGAGCCCGTAGTGGTGAAACCAAAACCAAACCATTAAAAACCTGAGTTAGTTTAAGCTAGGCACGTAGAGAGGTGTTCGCTGACAGTCTTGTTGGGATCATCCGGATTCTAAGAACCAATGGATGGCGACAAGTGGTAATGTTGGCTTGGAATCCTTCTCTTTGTAAAGTTGATAGGAATAAGAAAAAGCATTCAAGTAATATGACATGAAACTTGTAATGTCCCACCATTTCAATGACAAATAACCGTACTGGGTTATAACAAACAATGCTGGAAGTAGCACTCATAGTCTTGCTAAATGTTACTATCGTTTACCAGTGTGTTGCTGTTAACAAAAGCTGTTTGCCTCACCTACTGGCCAATCGCATGTGCATCTACTAGTTGACCACTTGGTGAAGTCACGCGCCACGCCCTCGGGTGAAACCCGACTGGGAAACGACCAATTAGGCGTCAGTCCGAGGGTCGCAGAGAGGAGATCATGTTAAGGAGAGATGGAAGCATATAACTAAACGTGGAGAGACCTAGGAAGAACTTCAGAGAACAGGACGAAATGGAAATGTGTTGTTGAAGCCTCGTGCTCCACCCCGGAACCGAAGAAAATAATAATAATAAAAATAACCGTACTGTGCAATCATCTCTACAAGATCCTTTTTAAAAATTCATTTCCACTAGACATTGAAAAAAATAAAGTAAAAGTTTTAAAATACACAAAAGAAATATGCATAACTTACTGGAATATCTGAGTCATTTCTCATCTGAGTCGATCCAAACAAGTGTGGAGTATTTGATAATGAAGAATAGCTCGGTGGAGGATGAGTAACTTCCACCCATACACGACATAGGTTATCTTCACCAGCGGTGAGTAATACATTCGGGATCCAACCACTAAAATACAGGAATATCACATATAGAAAGCATGCTGATTATATGTCATAAGGTTTGATTACGAATTAACATCAGCTAGAGAACCTGGAAGTACTGGACGGAAACTTCACCCTAGTTTGGGACTCCCCTTCACCAGAACGCACTCACTGGGGCTCGAACGCAGGTCCTTTCAGTTACAAGTCAAGCTCGTAGACCATTCAATCAGTCACTGGAACAAGATCCAGTGGCTAATCGACCATAAATTCCAACTTCTGCCGATTCGTGACATCATAATCAAGTAAAATAATGATCAATGTTTAGATAATCATTGGGTAGCTAAATGGAGGAATTAATATAACAAAGTTTCACCTACAAGTAGCACAGATGAGGATTTCAAAGTTAGAATCGGAAAAGCACGACGGACTTTCATAGCTCAGAAGGCTCCTGCATACAGCATTAAGGAAAACCATTCGGATCTTCAACGGTAATATCAAGTCAGTCAGAACTTCTCTATGTGGTCCAGAGACTTAGCGCTTGTGTCACAAAAAGCGTTTCCAACAAATTTCCTATTTCCTTCAATAGCTGTCTTTATTCTATACTGAAAATCAAATGGCCGGCCAGAAATGATAGGCAAGCGACAAGGAACTCTGGAAAGGAACCAACAAATATACTGCAGAGGAAAATGGAGATGGATTGGACGTGCGTGCGGGTCCAAGAGTAACATGCAGGATATCGTATGATGTGGAGAAAATGAAAGCCAATTAGAAGTCGTGGAGCTATCCACAAAAAGACTACAGAGAACGCAGTAAAGTGGAGATGTGCTACTGAAGCCTTATGTTCCACTTGGAACCCAAGGGAATAATAATCACAATATAAAGAAGGCCCTGCACAGTAATGAGTTCATATCATTAGTGAATACTGATGACAACGCTAATTTGGACAAGAAACGTTCCTGGAAGTCATAATCATAATCTTACTAAATGTTACTATCGTTTACCAGTGTGCCGCTGGTGAAAAAAGGTGTTTACCTTATCTATTGATCGCCTACATTTGTATCTATCAGTCGACCTGATCCTGTGAATGCTTTCTTCACACATACGATAGCACGCTTTATATTGCCATACTGTGAGTGAATGGAAGGCTGTTAAGAGGTTTATTCCTTGAATGTTAAACATTGATCGACTTGCATCAGTGTTATATGTTTCGCAATACGTCGAGATTGAATTGGGTACGCCAAGTTAGTGACAGATGCGCTACTATCACGACTATTGCTCCACTATGCTAACAACATTTGTACGACAGCTAAAATTGTTGCTCTCCAGCCCGCACTACTTAAACGACGATGTAATAATGTAAGATTCAAAACATCACCAAAAAATATGTCAATTAATCTGTAATCATAACCAATAGAATATTGGATATTATTTTCCGTAGGCCAAACTCTGATTGGTTTATTTCCAAACTGGACATCGATTACATACGTTGGCCGATTCTGATTGGTTTATTTCCAGAGTGGCCATCGATCACCTACTTAGGCTAATTCTAATTGGTTTACTTCCAAATTCGACATTGTTCACCATATCAACCATATCTCTAGTTCAGATTGTGACTTAAAGATTCACCTGAATCTTTAACAATCTCATCATTTCCAACTTCATGAAATGATGGCTTTTGACTGATGATTAGTTAACGTTTGACCTTTATGCACACAAGAAAACGTGCAGGTTTTGATTTAACCTCAATCATCCTGTGTTCTTCTTTCATTAAATACATATAAATGATGAGAGAATGATAATCATAAAGCCGGATAAAGGGTCAGTCCTTCTTGATAGAAGTGACTATATTAAAAAGGTAAGGGATATATTGAAGGACACACAGAAGTTTCAAAAACTTGAGGAGAAGAAAGATTTCAATAACAAAATAGAGAATGAATTAACCAGACGTTTGAAGAAACTAAGGGAAGAGCAGATAATTTCTGAAAGTTCATATGAAAAAATCAGACCAACGAGCACGTATACGCCAAGATTGTATGGCCTACCTAAAGCGCATAAACCAGGGGTACCGTTAAGACCAATATTTGATATGCAAAATTCGCCCTACCATGCTCTAGCTAGATGGTTAGTAAATATTCTCAAACCTTTGCATGGGGAGATAATGAAATATAGCGTCAAAGATGTATTTGAATTCGTAGACAAAATAAAATATATTAATATCAAGGACAAATCATGATATCTCTGGACACAACATAGTTATTCACAAATGTACCTCTAATAGAAATAGTGGATTATACATGTGAACAAGTGGACAAGCAGTCGATAAACATTGGAATCCATATTGAAACCCTAAAAGAATTGATATTAAGATGTACCATGAATGTAAACTTCAAATTTGACGGCACGCTTTACAGGCAAGTGGACGGGGTGGCGATGGGCTCCCCATTGGGTCCCATTCTGGCTGATTTCTTTCTAAGTAAGCTAGAAAATGGACCTCTGAACAACCTTATCAGTAAGCTCTCATTTTATTGCAGATATATGGTTGATACCTTTATTCTTTGTGATAATGGTTCTGATAGGAGTACAATAATTACTGAATTCAATGAAGTACATTCCGCTATGAAATTCACATGCGAAGAGGAATCCCAAGACAGAATTGCCTTCCTGAATGTCCAACCTACAAGAAAACCAGACGGTAGCATAAAAAGAAATTTGCATAGAAAAAGCACTTGGACAGGACGATATACACATTTTCACAGCTTCGTTCCTATCAATTACAAAAGAAATTTAGTGAAGACCCTCAGTCACAGGGTTAGTTAGAGCTATTCCATATCAGGATGATCGGGGGTGGGTGCCTTGCGCTGCGGGTTGGCCACCCCTCCGCACACCTCTTGAAATGCTCCCATATGACCGGGCGTCTTACATAGCCTCTCCTGAGGAAGTCCTACTCACTGCCTTCATGTGGCGGTGTTTTTCACCAAAGTGAGAGGGCGAAAGCGGATGCCCGGCGCTCTTCACCGGGTTCACTGTCCATTGGATGACAGTCTAGGGGAGATGGCTAAACCTTGATTCCAAACCTCCAACGACTGGCGTATGAAGCTCACTGGAGCTCACCGGCGTATGATGTTCATGAAGCCGGCTCATCCTTTCGTAGGAGATAGCCGAAGTAAAGTAAAAAGTAAGTAATATGATACTTTGATCGAAAATGGCTATCCCGACAAGTTTATCAAGAAACACATGACAAAGAAAGCGGAAAAGGACTACCCACTGTCTGTAAACAAGAAGCCTTTATATGTACGACTACAATTCATGGGCGATATACCAAGTGAGGTAATTACGAAGAAATTAAGAAAATCAGTTCAAAGAACTTTTAATGCTGGCGAACTACACGTATTATTCTCTACACGACCGATGGTGCTACCTCGACTGAAAGATGAAGTACCTAGACTAGCTAGCCACTTCAAATTTTATCTATCAATTCAACTGCGCTTGGGGTGGAGCGAGTTATATTGTCCGTTGCGGTAGAAACTTGATTTTTCGTACTCGACAACATATCCCACTATGGCTGAGTAAATATGTAGTTAAAACTATTAAAACTAATCAATCATCCTGCGTTCTTCTTTCATTAAATACAGAATCTTTGAAAAGGGACAATAATTATTCATTTTCATTCTCTGAAGTAATTTAGGCTTAAATCGATAAACATAATAGTAATAATTTGCTTTATCCCAAAACAGTACTTATGATACAGTGTGATACATTGCATTTAATTTAATCGATGACGGTAAGAACAAAAATAATACTACACTGTATGAGTAACCAGAATTGATAATAGCAACGTTTTTGGTATTAGCGGTAACAATAAAGTCAAAAATGTACAAAAAGTGTAAAATAATAATGATGATAATAGTATTAAAAGCTAAAATTATAAGTGAATTGAGATAGAGTCGCCATAGATTACAAATAGGAGAGAATAAAAGAGCCGATTATTTACGGAAAACATAGTAAGTCGTAGGTTTCACGCTTAACTCTATCTCTATAACATAGAACGCTGTCACGCTAAACAGGGTATCGTTGAGCTTTTGTACTTCACCGTGTGCGAGCAGGCATATAATGTTTTATAATAACTTCTAGTCCTACCTACTCTCAAGTCTGTGTGGAGGTCAACAGCACTCAGCATCAAAAATAAGATTCGGATTTTCAACTCCAATGTGAAGTCAGTCAGTGCTGCTATACGGATCAGAGACTTGGCCAGCGCATCATAAGGAGCATCTCAAACAAACTACAGACCTTCATTAACAGTTGTCTTCGCTTAATACTCAAGATCAGATGGCCACCCAGAAAAGATCAGTAACAGAGATCTCTGGCAATGAGCTAGCCAACCAGGAACCGATTGTGAAACAAATAGGCAGGAAGAAATGGAGATGGATTGGTCATACTCTTAGGAAACCATCAAGTGACATCACTAGACAAGCCATTGCTCGAGTGGAACCCGGCCGAAAGGGAAGCAACGAGTTGGTCGTCAGTGCGAGGGTGACTTGGAGGAGGTCATGTGAAGAGGAGATGAAAGCATGTGAGCTGACTTGGAGCCAGGTGAAGACTCTAGCAGAGAACCGAACGCAATGGAGACGCACGGCTGAAGCCCTATGTTCCTCTAGGAATTAAAGGAAATAATAATAACTTTTAGTCCTACCTGATGAAATGCAAGGAAGGCGACAGTTGGGTGAATAATGAGGGCATTGTGAGTCAGACAATACGGATTTAGACCATTTCTCGCAGGAGTTCAGGTGTATGTCGAATACAGTAAGAGCTAGCTGACTTACTGGCACACCACTCTCCAACCCTACTGACAACCTTTAATTTCCTTCACAACATGACATAGTCCTTTTTCAGTAAGTAAACCAGGAAAGACTAAGGGGAAGCAGTAAAGAACAATAGGCAAGATGTGACAGTTGATCAAGTTATTCCTGATTGTCTTAATGTCTTCTTAATGTAGAGTAGGTCAGATGGAACATTTTCTTAGAAAGTAACAACAAGATATGGGATAACCAAGAAGGGTACCTTAAAACCAAATTAGTTAGCCCAAAACCCCATCCCTGATCAAATTACATGCTTGAATTTAATAGGGTTGGTATCAAAGTGGATTCCATACTAGTTTCTTTATTAGATGTATCACACAGTGAGTGAAACAGTATTATTTACTGGATGACGTTTCGAACAAAATTTAATACTGTTCATAATCATATCATCAATTATAATCACACAACTTCGAAACTTGAGTTTTATAGTTTTCTTTGTTTTCTCCCATTTGTCGTCGTTGGGGTAGTAGAATTTTCGAGATGTCCAGCTGGACAGGTGTTGAATCATTTCTACTACACGTATTCGCAGTTGATTCGATAAACAAAGCTTCTGTTATCAATCTCTCCCTCCACCCTGCTGTTACATTAGATTTTAAAACTGTTATCCTATCCCCATCCTATTGTATGGTTGGTTGTGTGTAATTGCATATAGTGTGTGCTATAGCTGAACTATTCTCTAGATTTCTTATCTTATTCGGGTCAACCAATCTAGATTTTGCTAGGATTTTATGTTCGGCTAGTCTGACTGCCCCTGTGCTACTAGTTTGACCCATGTATTCGACCTGACAATGATTCCAGCAGGGTATTAGATAAACTAAATTGCTTTGTTTTAAAGGCTCCACAGGATTGATGCTTTAACCGACAAAGCTTGTTTCTAATTGAGTTTGTGGGTTTGAATGCCACTTTTATTCCTGCTTAGTTAAGAATTTCGCTTAAGGTTTCCGAGGTCCCTACCTTGTATGGAATTACTACTGATGATTCAGATCTAAATTACTTACTATCACAGTGCCCAAGTTTTACACATATACCAAAGTGGATTTCTGAATATTCTACCGTGAAACGATGAGATGGGGAGTGATCATCAACTAAACATGCTGGATGATAGTTACATCGAGTATTAACCTACTCTTTTTGAGATGTGCTCAATTATCAGTCAGGTTTTTACACCTTCCTTTCACCAAAGAAAACCCAAAATGGCTGAACCGTCAGTGAGCTTACATTGTAACCTGAAGGTCCTGCGTTCGATGCCTGCTGGATGGGGTCGCATAGTGCTGAAGAGTCCCAAACGAGTACAGATGTCCAGTGATTCTTTATATGAAGTTAGTTTATTATCGAATTTGGGAAAAATTCAGCACTTGAATTACTACCGCGCTTCACATATATCCCAAAATAGAACTGACACATTTATAGAAAAACAACTCACCTCGGAAGATATCGACTTGTACGACGCCAACTAAATGAATAAACATCACAAGGATGCGGTAGGTGAATCGGTTCCCAATTTTCTGTCATTTGAAACTCTCCTTCATTATGACTTTTCAAAGGATTGATTGCAAAACAAGGATCATGAAACCATACATGCATGATATTACTGAATTTAATCCCATGATTATTATTTGGTTCATTGCATTTAATTATACTGGCAAAATATAAACCATCAGTACTGAAATCAATTTGTAGCGGAGTACCTGGATAATAAGAGAAAGTAAAATACAGTTTAATAATATAGGTGAACAATAAGACAGAACTTTCTTTTTTGAAAACTACAGTAAAGGTAGAGAAAAGGAACAAAAAAGAAATTCAGGAGAACTACAATGAGAAGAAATGTAGGTGGAAAAGAATATTGTATATTGTTACTATTATTATTCCCTTGAGTTCCCAGCAGAACATAGGGCTTCAAAAGAACATCACCACTGTGACCTGTTCTCCGCAGTCCTCTTCAACTGGTCTCACGACTAGCCATAAGCTTTCATCTCCTCCATATCACCATCCAACCCATGCCCAACTCATCTTTTCTCTTCCCGATCCCACTTGAGCGATGGCCTGGAGTGTGGTGCCACTCAACGATCTCCTCCGTGTGTGTCCTATCTATCTCCATTTTTATTCGGCAAATTCTGTTGTTGAGTAATAGGTTCTTGATAGGTTCGTCCTCAGAGTTTCTTGTTAGGAATACTTCCTGACCGACCATTCGATCTTCAGTATGGAACCAGCGAAATAGGCGGAAATTGGTGAATGATTTTTGTGATGCGTGTACCGAATTTCTCATCCATGTAGAAGAACTGAGTTAAGGTTGGTGTTGAAAATCTGAATTTTGTTCTTTGTACTGAATGCAGTATACTTCAAGACTGATTTCAGTGGTGAAGGTCTGCCTTGTCTTTCTGATCTCGGCTTTGACATCCTCATTCGTAACACCACCTGTATTTGAAACGATGCTCCCCAGGTGATGGTGATTGGTGCTTATCGCTGTTGTTGGTTAGTTATCTTCGTCACATCCGTCTTCTCTATATTTACTTAAAGCCCTGTCTTTGCTGCTTCCCCCCCCTAACTTGTTAGTTTTCACCTGTAAGTTTTCGAGTTCGTATGATATTTGACATAAATCATCCGCGAAATCCAGATATTCCAGAGTTTTCCTACCGCTCCAACGTATTCCTGCTCTTTCACTACCAACAGTGCGGTGCATGATCTAGTCGACCAAAATTAGAAATATCGCCTGTGACACAAGAAACTATGGGAACAAACAAAACAAGAACCAATCGCCCAACAAATATGCAGGAGAAAGTGGAGATGGATTGGACACTCGCTGAGGAGGCCACTGGGTGACATCGCGAGTCAGGCCATTGCTCGAGTGGAACCCGAAAGGCAAGCGGCGAGTGGGACGTCCAAGGGTGACATGGAGGAGATCGTGTGAAGAGGAGCTGAAACAGTACGGACTAACATGGATGCAGGTGAAAAGTACAGCAGAAGACAGAAACAAGTGAAGACGTGCAGTTGAAGCCCTATGTTCCGCTAGGAACCCAAGGGAACAATAATAGTAATAATAATATACTAGGCAGCCGTATTTAACTCCTGTCTTCACTTGAAGGGCTTCGTTGAAATTTCCGTTGTCGATCGCTTGACATAGTAACATGGAAAAACATGAGAGTTTAATGAATCTGTGAGACTGTCATTGCATCTGCACCAATGAGAACAATTATGAACCATGTCACTCTAATAGTCTCCAGCCACTGGATTTTAGTATTCAGAGAATCCCTACTAAGAAGTCTACAAGATGCTAAGAAGTAATGGCTGGCGCAGATGCATCCGCTTATTTCAATCTCCTGGATCTAATACACCCTCATATTTTCCCTGACACTTTCCCTTTCCTCACCTGTACGTTTCTTCTCATTAAAGTGTTTTTAAATCTTTTTTCTTTTCTCTTTCCTCTACTTTTGTGGGCTGCAAACAGTGTAACAACTGGAACTGCTGCAATTTTCTACAAAGTTCTACGCCGAAACCTAGTCAGTCTGTGAATGTACATCAGTGAGATGCGGAAGGAAATCATGACAGAATCCTACATTTATCAATAATAAAATGTCAAAATCGATTTTATATTCGTCTCATCTGGTGGTAGGTTGGGAAACGATAAAAGTATTTTCCCTGTTTATAAATTATATTCAAATTCATTACTAAAGAAAGTTTACACACAATAATAATAATTTGCTTTATTCCATAAACAGTACTTGTGATACACAATGGAATTCTCAGCATTTTTACTACAGTATTGCATCCAGTTAGTACATTATCAATAAATAGAATTCTATATGGATTAAGGAAATCTCAGTTCATTATGACGACAACATATTGGCATGTCGGTAGCAAAGCCAAAACTGAAAAGTGTTTGAAGGTGTTAGAAAAGTAGGTGCTGTCATATTTACTGGCGTAAGCGAGAGAAAGAAACAAAGCAGCACATAACGGAAAAAAAGAGAGAGAGAAAAGGAAAAGAAAGAAAGAAAATGTTGTACCTATAAATCATATGAGTTGGGAAGACGAGATCCAGTTCTTCTACTGACTATTTGATAAGTTATAGGTATCACGCCTAATGCTTTCTTTATCGCACAGAACACGAGCTAAGTAGGGTATGGTTGAGATTTTGTACTTGGTAGTGCGAGCATATAGTTTTCTATATAGGCTTCTGGTTTCGCCTGATGAGATGCAAGGGGAGAGTTGTGAGTGAAGAGGGTGGTGTGAGTTAGATAAAAATGGACTTGGCCCATTTTTCACATGAGTCCATGTGCCTGTCAACCAGAATATTAACAAGCTGGTTAAGTGGCACGTTGCTTACCCTGCCGACAACCTTTAACATCCTGTGTAGCCCGGGAAAAACTAAGGAGGAACAATAGAGAATAATAGGCAGAATGCGAGAGTTAACGAATTGTAGGAGTAAGGGTTGGGGGGTTATACCAGAATGTTTTAACTTCTTGATGTAGAAGGTAAGATGGAATATTTTCTTAGAAATCGCCAGGATATGAGACGACCAGGAGTGATCAGCAGATAGAATGACGCCTAGGTATTTAATTTCCGACTTGGTTTCTATTTCAGTGCCATCTATGTTGTACACCTCGTGAGAGCCAACCAGTTTGTTTAGGTCGGAGTTCGTGGTCCGGAGTTCGATTCCCAGCCGGTACACATTTTACCCCCCCCCTAGCAGGATGCAAGCCCGACAAAGTGAAAAGATTGGGCGAGGTGCTAACAACCCTGCTCCGTACTAGATAAACACCACTGCTAATGGAAATTCATAGCTCAAGCTTGAAGCCCCAGGTTCCGCTCGGGACGCAAAGGAACAATATAATAAAATAGTCGCAAACACGCAACCTTATTCCCACTATACTGGAGGTATATGATCATTTATTTAGTTGATAAAACAAAACGAAAACAATACCTTTCGTTTGATGACGCCATACAACTCTCCATTCTGACTGTGTATCCAGTGTTGAATTTACCAAGCCACCTGAGTCTGTTTCACACTGTAAATCTATCAAATCAGTTCCAATGTGAAAACGAGGAGTGGAATGAACAACATTGCTGACTGTATCAGATCTCCACATGCATAGTTGTCCATCTTCAAGACCAGCCAGTAGGCCAAAATTTGGAAATTCAAAACATGGTCTATGCGACCAACAAAGACAAACCACCTCAGATTTAGAAGGTAATGGTATGTGGCTTGAAAACCTCCAGAGTAGTTTCGATGAATTGGTTAGCAGACCTTCTGTTGTTGCCTGGGAAGAGAGATAGTGACACACAGAATACAAATAAATGGGCTAAATAACACAAAACAGAAACATTATATGACAAACTGGTCAAGTTAACAACACATCCATTAGAATTATAAAAAATAGTAGATTAGGGAATTCCTCATAGATAGGAGGCAGAGGGGCAGGATCAACTCGAAACTCTCCTCCTGGACAACAGTAAGTTGTGGAGCACCACAAGGTACGAAGTAACGATTCCAAATGAAATTTACAGACGTATTATAAAAATACAGAAAACACTCGACAGACGTACCTGTGGGACGTAGACATATATTCCCTTAGCATTAGCGACAGCAATCTAGTGAATAAGAATGTAAATTAGGTAACAAACCTTTCCATCCCAATGATTGAAACTGACAGCCGTGACTACAGAACTTCCCAATTCACCCCCTGAAATTACCTGACTACGGCAAAAAGATTCATTCAAAATAACTATATCACATCCACTGGCATACACCTTATGATAAGGGATAAAAAATCAACCAGAGGAACTTACAATATAATTAGAACCCCGTACTTTCGCTTGAGAAATGTGTGAGTAGTCACCATTGCAAGAACCAGTTATTATTTGATGAACTCTCATCAAGAACACAAAAACTGACCTAGAGATTGAAGTGGGAGGGAATAAGGTACAATACGTAGCGTCAGTTTCAAGGTCACACGGGAAAACAGGTTCAGATTTGTTGATTGGCGATAGAAGGCTTGGAGCCTATTTTACTCCTTTTCTAGTAAGTTTTTGTGTTTTTCTGAACCTTTCCTCAATGAGTCAATTGACGTTGCTAACATCACTTCTTCTGGGAGTCGGTTCCAGGAGTTTATGACTCGGTGAAACAATACTTCATAACAATATAGTTACGTATGGGCTTTTGAACTCTCTTGCTATGTTATCTAAGGTGTCCAGACCTGGTGGGAGGGAAAACAGTGAGTGGATCAGGTCCGTAATCATTATTTAAAATTTTAAACATTGTATTGCAACCACTTTGCCAACGGTTTGACAGGGAGAAGAGATTTCTTTCCTCGTATGATAAATTAGTCATGCTGGGAATCGTATATGTTGCCCTTCTTCGCATCCATTTTAGAATATGTAAGCCTTGGTTAACATCAACACAGTCTAACCTGTGTTCTTCTGATTCGGCCAGAGTTGATCCTATGGGAGTGACGATCCCTGTGTATAGACTTTGGAGAATTATTTGTCATTGCTTCTGCTTTTTCGTGATCCTCATAGATCGTGCTATTTCCCACAGTAAGGCTTAGGACCCCACTGGATGTCTTATTCCTGATGTTCATGTACGAGGGAATTTTCTTAGGGTAAGCCTTGGCGTCCTGTGCCAGATGTGCTCCGAACTTCACCCTTGATTGGCGGATTTCTGCCATAGCTTTATTTCTAGCAGTGTTATATAATTGCCTGGTCTCAGGAGTCTCAAGTGTGGCAAACAAGTTCCAACATTTGTGTTTACGTCTAAGTAACTTACGAATCTCTCGGTTTATCCAAGGAGGACAGTGTTTCCGACCCTTTGGGACATACCAAGAGATGAAAGGTTCAGTTACTTGAGCGTAAGGTTGTTTAAATTGGTTCCATGCGGCTTTTACTTGGGACTCTGAGTTGAAGTACCATTTCATTGAGTTGGCTGCTGAGACGATCGCATTTAGATAAGCTTTCCAAACGTTTGGTCGACCTGGGGTCTCGGCCTATGATACTGCTTCTGTGAACTTAAAAGTGAGCACAGTGTGATCGCTTCTTCTTAAAGGAAGATGTATGAAGTTCACATCCTCACCATGGGAGAACACAAGGTCCACGTTTGAAGAAAAGTGCTGTGAGTCATAGCGCGTAGGCTTCATGACATTTGGACTAAGGCTAGCGAAATGCAAGATTCCAAAGGTTCATATTCATAGGAGTTGTTGGAAGATTGCGTTGTAAGGCTTGTCCGATCAACTGTTGTTGTGTTGAAGTCACCGACCACGAGACTTCGACAATTAGATGTCCAGGAGCCTAGCTTCCCTACTAAGAAGTCGACTGAATTACTGTCAGGACCGCAGCATATAGCTATGAGGTCAATGTCTTGGACTATGCATTTAAGTCTGCAGCGTGGAAGTTCTCACTCCTCACTTTCGTGTGCGAGAGCTTCAGTGTTATGCACAGTTAGGCATTTCTTAAGGTAGTTGGCTACGCCTCCTCCTTTGTAATACAATCGGTCCACTCTACGCACTATGAAGTTTTGCAGGTTAACTTCTCTATCAGTGACATCGGATGTGGGCCACATTTCTGTGATGATAATTATATCTGGGTTTCTGGAGTCTGTCATGTTACCCAGTTCAATCCATTTTTTCAACAGGATGTGGGTATTTGTATATCAAACTACTAACTCAATTTGATACTTCTGCGGCCTACCCACAGAAGTCTATGGATCATCAAACTTCAACAACTTGAAAAACCCTTAATCTTAAGTTTTTCTCGCCATTTCAGTGCCATTCGCTTAATTCTACAGACGTAAACTGTCTTTTGACGCGGTCTGATAGGCATAAGTCACCACGAACGTATATGCCTCGTCTCGTTTTCCAGGCGGACTGCATCAAAATACCGCTATAATGAGGAAGATAGGTTAGCTGGAGGGTAATGTCATCTACACAAATAGTCAACTTTATTTAGAAGCTGCACCTTTCGGCATAGTGTCATTCAATGAAGACTTCACATGAGACTTAAGTCTCAGGATATCAATGCAGCCTATTTTCGTATGAAGAACAGTACTTTTTGACAAAAGAATTATATTAGTATTTGGAAATCACCTGTAAATGCTAACAGAATCGTCTGTGGGAACCTAATTTATCATGTAGATGTGCTTTTCACTCTATCTGTGGTTGGACAGGAATTATCGTAAGTTGAAAGGTTGTCTCTAAGTGGATTTCATATATATTTGCACTGATTGGTGCAGTGTACTATGGGTTATGTGAATTCAATGTACAAAAATATCTCAATTTTATTAATATTGTGCCATTGTCTGCTTAGCTGACTGATAGGTTACCAAACTTAGGTGGTTGTCATGATCATTGCAAATGCAGTGCAGTGCAGTGTAGAAGGCAATTACTCGTTTAAATTTCCTTACTGTGTCACTTAGTGCATTAATTCAGTGTTTGGTATTATTATACATATGGACTGTGTTGATCATGAGAACTGAATCCAGTTAGTTCTATTATTTTTAATCCACCGTCTGTTATACCATTCCCACTGACACTGTATACTTAATGTTCTACTATTTTTGATCACCAATAGTGGGATGAATTTCTCCTGAAATTTCCATTAATATGAAGCAGTACAGATGCGGTATCACGACTGAATGTCTGGGTTGCATTATATGACACTGTTATCCTCATCAACACAACAGGTCTGTGTATCTCACGACATTTTAAGTGTTTCTGTATGTTGTTAACACTGTGCATAGCTGTTTAGAGTTGCGGCGTGTTCGGCTTAAATATGGTGGATGCAGTTTCCTAGGATTTATAAAACTACGTCCACTAGACATTACTGAGATTTTTAATTAATATCTAAGTTATACATTTGCAATACTTCCTGTAATGTAAACGTATTTAGTGTGAGGTTGTTCTGGAAGTAATCTGGATGAGGAAAAAGGACCTCTAATACTGGATAACATGTGAGGTCTATTGATGCTTATGGTGTTAATATAAAAACCAGCTGTTGACTACAAATACATTTATTTGCATGAAATATTATTTCGTATTAACAAAATCAGTGTATTCATTGTGTATGCAAATATGTTTAGAATTATCTTTTATAACTTCATAATGTGCTAGTCCTTACATGTGCATAATTTTTTCAGGTATACGGAGGTTGTCGAATATGAAATCAGTGGAAATATCATTCGGCCTGTATACTGTTACAAATAAATAATTAATAAATTTATTCTCATAGTACAGTACATGAGGGACGCCAGTTTACAGGCATCATCAAATTGTTACAGAAATGGAACCATATAATTCAATCACAATTTACAGGCAGTAGCAAGATATGCCTTACATGTTCGCTGGAGATTATACATACACTTGATAAATGTTAATCCCAGTAGTATAAAACGGCCTTTTCACTTATATACAATCATTTCTGTGCACAGTTGGAAAATTCTGCTAGATTGTCAGTGAGTGCAACACATCAGGAAATACAGAAGTATTGTCTTCGCATTAACAAAAAACCAGGTCTTTGGTGGATGGATTATAAGTGCCTGGGAAAAAAATAAAGCTTGAAGTCAATTTTCATACATAACTTCGTTGTGTGCAGAATCCTTGAATTATAGTTCATCGATGTGTTATTTTGAAATCAGTGATACGTTTATCTCATTTGATCTGCAATGTCATTGTTGGGAGTAAATACATGAGCTTCAGACGCATTAATTAATGGATTTCTACTGCTTGTGGGTATTTTCTTAGCGTGAGGAAGGTTTATGTATTTCAGCTGTTCCGACAGGAGTTGAGAATATTAACTGCTCAGCAACATTATGGATATAAGTTCATCACATTATCTAAGGAAAGGTGGGTTGCAGTTGGTGAGGGATATATGGTGCCCAACGAGCGTACATCTGTCCATGTGATGTTGTGGTGAGTTGTACCTTTCTCATGTTGTCGGTTTATGTCCATTTTATTCCACTTATTGTGTTAGGTAGTAGTTTTACAAACGAGATTTCTTGTCTGTTTGAGGATACGTATCTTAACCGTTAATGTTTTATCTAGAATTATAAATATAGGCAAAAAACAACAGGTGTAGTATTTAAGCTTATACATTAAATGGACCTATAATTTCGGAGGCTCTCAGATAGGAACTAGAACTACTATCGTTTGCAAACTCTTGTAGTTTGTCATTAAGCACCTTTTTGAAGGAGGCCAATGTGCTTGCTTGACACATTTCCATTGGTAGTTTATTCCATATCTGTGCATGCCTAATCAAGTAAAACTTTTGCCTTGTGGCTGTTTTACATGGTTCGATGGCTACTGTACACTTAGTGTGTCTTAGTTTGTTGCCATTGTCATCTGAAAGTCCAGTGCCAGTAGTAGAGGTAAAAACTAAGTGGTTTAGAAGCTTATAGTAAAGTGTTAAGTTTAGTCTCAGGCGTCTTAGCCATAGTGTTTCTAGTCCTAGGGTATCACATCTAGTGGAATAGTTCGCACCATGTTTGGTTCCGAGTAATTTTAACGTGAAGTACCTCTGCACTCCCTCGACTTTCAATTTGTCCTCTATGCGTATACTACTATACATGTATGAACAGTAATCAAATAAAGGACGCACACAAACCTTGTACAACAGAATTCTAAATATATTTAAAAATCATGGACATCCGTATTTATATTCACGGAGAAATCACAACTTAGAGAAAACCACCGATCGTAGACCACGACCCGAAACGTTATTCTTGCTAATTAAAGTCTTATTTTTAACTGGGATAATAATATATATTTCACATAAATTAAGCATTTACATGATTAACATACCGTTTGTACAGGCATGATCATATTTGACAAGTGCAATTTGAAATGGAACACAGTTTTTTGACATCAAAAATTGGAAAAATGGAAAAAACC